ATAAAGCCAGCCAAGGGAGGCAACTCTGAAGTGCTATCAAAAAGGTGTACCGCTAAAAATACTATTGCCATTGAACACATATGATGCGAGATGTGAGCCACAACCCACACTCAAAACTTTAAACATTGTGACCCATAAGAACTATCAGCTAATCAATGATAATACAAATTACAAAAAACACACTCTCATAACACTAGTGACACTGAGAACAGTGTAGAACGATCTGGAACGGGCTAGAAGGAATTTATTCCAGAATCATCTGCTGGAAAGACTTCCACCCATATCCCCCCTGAAATTTTATTCTAATCAAATCATATGACCTGAATATATATTCCTTATCTGATAAGGATGAGTGTTAACATGTTTCTTCGGAGACACCTTTAGAATACAGCACCACAACTTCTCTTGAGGACGATCTCTGCCATTGTCATTAAGACAAGCAACCAGTTTGTGAGAACCCGTCGGACGCGAACCCGCGACCTTCGGATTGTTAGCTCGACAACTAACCGACTGAGCTACGTCCACACTGTTGCACAGTGTGCACATTTATCGAGTCATTCCTGTGACGTCACGGAAATGAACGGAAAGAGTTGAATAGGTCACGGACAATTACGAATGCTATGGGTAGACTTGGTGTCATGTGATTTTATTCTACGGACAATTGCCGAATGGATCCGATGCCATTTGGCACACTCGTCCCATTCCGTAATCTACAAGTTAACGTGTGGCGTGGAATGAGCCGATATGCCTCAAACTGAAAAGGGTTGTTGACGTCAGGCGTCAGTCGTAGATTTCACGGTATATGCATGAATGGCGCGCTTTTATATAAATCGGTGATTTTGTGACAGAAAAGTGATGTAGGGAATATTGTAAGGATAATGTGGATCGCACTAAGGAATGAGGGAGACATTAGCATGTGTAGTGACGGCACGAGGGTGAGTTAGCCTTCGAATCAATACTTTACAAAATTTATGTTGCGTGTGAAAGAGGCTTCAGTGCAAATTCCAGGCCAATTTCCATTAGCCCCAAATTTCTACATTAACCCATTTCATAATGTACTTTCGACGTTTTTGGTTTCCCGTTTTTTGTGTGAAAAAAAAGTATTAAAATGCAAAAAGGAAAAACAACAAATGGTACTCACGTATTACACCGGACATGTACCTACTATATTGGATTAGGTCCCTAACCCTAACCCTAAACCCACAGCCCTAACCCTAACCCTAACCCTAACCCTAACCCCTTGAAATAATCCTAATAAATAGAATGCATTGACCGAACATGTACCTACTATATTGCATTAGGTCCCCAACCCCAACCCTTAAAACCTAACCGTAGCCCTAGCCCTAACCCTAATCCTAATCCCTTGAATTAATCCTAATAAATAGAATGCATTGACAGAACCGGCACAAACACGACTGACGTGTCTAGTGTAATGCATTATTACCGCTTCGAAAAATAAAATACAGTCAAATCCCGATGAGTCGAATCGCTGGGGACCAAGTAATAAATTTGACTTATCCATGTATTCGAGACACAGGTATGTCTATGAGGGTAGAAAAAAGGATGATCCAGTCCTAATTCCTCCGCCTCAGCATTTGTTTATCTAATGATTTCCATATCACTAATAGGGGCACCTTATCAGTTCCAGTCTGATTAGCACAGACAGTGATTTCCGTAAAATCACTAATCTGCCTTTTGAACTCACCCGTCAATGGCGGAAAGGTGTGAGCCGAGCTAGTTTGTTAATTGGATCAGTTTGCTACACAAATCAACTTCTCCTTGACTGACTTCGGCTTATGTATACAAGATTGCTGTTGTTTGAATCTCATGGGACCAACTTTCCTTTTCGAGTCATCGTGTGTATTTATGAGACGAATTCGTGTAACCGGTATTCAAATGATGACAACTATAACAGGGAATGGTCGGGACCGACAGCTAGTTCGAGTTATGCATAATATTCGGGACACCGGCATTCGACTCATCGGGATTTGACTGTATTAATAAAACACTTTTCTATGTAATGGTGCAAATTACTGAATGACAAAAATATATATGTACATTTAAAAAATTACAAAATACAAAATACACAACACATAACACCTCAGCAGCCCGTAATACAAATAAATATGAGTGTATTGGTGAAAAAAGAAAAATATTTCAAACTGGTGCTTGCAAAATATTGCGCATCCGCCGGTATACAACTACTGGAAACTCTCAACATCGTTGGGCTTATGCAATGACATAGCTCGTGGAGATGAAACACCAGTGAGCGGAGCTTATACGCACTCGCTGAGCCAGACAACCGTGTTGTCATAGGGCATTGTTTCGAGATCGTGCTTTCGAACAAAATCACATTACATTACGTAAAAGGGTATTATGACGTATTTTTAAAGTTTGTGGTGCTGTATTCTAAAGGTAGGCCGTTTCTTCAATATTGAAATGACATATCCAACTTCTAACAATGCCACTCAAAGAAATTTTTCATCATCGTTAAAATTTAGGGGGGATACGGGCGGAAGTCTTACCCATCTGCTTAAGTTAGTTGTATAACGGAGTTAACTCTTACATCTCAAGCTACAAGAAGGCCAGTAGTTTGCGTGTCCACTCTATACCCTTGAAACTCTCTCTGCCCAGTCCTTTCTTGCAAGTTGAATTACTGTTGCTGATAGGTTAATATTACCATTATTTTCTATACTGCTCTTGTATTATATTACCTTTCAATTTCTACTGCCACTCAGTCTTGTACTGCTATTGTGATGCCACTATATCGGTTTGTGAACTTAGCTAAGTTCAGAATACAAGTGTTTTAGTTTTGTACTGCCATTGTGATGCCACTGTATCGAATTGTGAACTTAGCTAAGTTCAGAATACAAGTGTTTTAGTTTTGTACTGCCTTTGTGATACCCCTGTATCGATTTGTGAACTTAGCTAAGTTCAGAATACAAGTGTTTTAGTATTGTACTGCCATTGTGATGCCACTGTATCGATTTGTGTATTTTTGCTGTTTGTTGGTTTCACACATAGTTCTCTTACAGCCCGATTGCCAGTTAACTATTTAGTTTCAGCCTGGTAATACTGGGTATATTTACAGCCCGATTGCCAGGTAACTATTTAGTTTCATCTTGGTAATACTGGGTATATTTACAGCCGAATTCCCAGGTAACTATTTAGTTTCAGCCTGGTAATACTGGGTATATTTACAGCCCGATTGCCAGTTAACTATTTAGTTTCATCTTGGTAATACTGGGTATATTTACAGCCTGATTCCCAGTTAACTATTTAGTTTCAGCCTGGTAATACTGGGTATATTTACAGCCCGATTGCCAGGTAACTATTTAGTTTCATCTTGGTAATACTGGGAAAATTTACAGCCTGATTGCCAGGTAACTATTTAGTTTCATCTTGGTAATACTGGGAAAATTTACAGCCTGATTGCCAGGTAACTATTTAGTTTCATCTTGGTAATACTGGGTATTTTTACAGCCTGATTGCCAGGTAACTATTTAGTTTCATCTTGGTAATACTGGGTATTTTTACAGCCCGATTGCCAGGTAACTATTTAGTTTCATCTTGGTAATACTGGGTATTTTTACAGCCCGATTGCCAGTTAACTATTTAGTTTCATCTTGGTAATATTGGGTATTTTTACAGCCCGATTGCCAGTTAACTATTCAGTTTCATCTTGGTAATACTGGGTATATTTACAGCCAGATTGCCAGGTAACTATTTAGTTTCAGCCTGGTAATACTGGGTATATTTACAGACCTCTGTGTTATTGCTGGAACATTGCTGAGTAAACCATAATAGAAGAAACATACAAACTGTGGCCATGACAGAAAGTGCATCACTGTTTATTCTATACATGTACATTAATCTTTGGCACCATTTAATAAAATATTCCTTTCAAGCACGTAACAGTCACACTTCACTCACTTGATGGCAAAAGATTTTTGTTGCATAGAGCATTTGGGTTTACTGGTGAAAATATACATGAATGTTTGTTACCACATACCAAGTAACAATAGTATTCTTATCAACCAGATCACACTACTCAGTCCAACTACCTTTACTTACCCATTTAATACCTTTAGTTTGCTTGTAAAAATGCAATGTTTCTTGAATGATGCATGAAAGTACAGTGATGAAATTACATCTTTAGGATAGGGCAATAAAATGGTAAGGTTTTAAAAGAAAAACAACAATGAAGGTACAAGCCACTGGAATGGTAATTCCTTATGTACACCTTTATTGTATGCTGAACTGAACTCCCCTGTGTTTGTACGACATGGTTTTATGAGCTTGCACCAATGTATTAAACAAAAGAGTTTCTGAGAGTGAGGGTCATGGTCATTTAACAATCCATGCACACAACTTTCTAATGGTATCATTGGACTTTCTGTTTTTTTTAGATATAGTTCATCTGAAATTAAATTTCATGATTTTTTGTGATGTCATTAAAGCAGAAGTCCACATGGGATTTTCTTATAGTAGGTAGAGGCATTGGTCATGATGAGCACTCTGGTTCCTTATTAAGTTAGATGGAGGATGTGTACTTTAATCTGATTGAAGACAGGCAATGCCATTGTGGCATTTTTCAGTCCTTCAATAGACTTTAAGTATGCTTTGGGGGATTCCAATTCTAATATCTGACAAGAGAGTATCAGGTCGCAGTGTTCAAAATGAAAGGAGTCCCAGAGTCTGAGGTTTGCTACTGTGGTATTTGAATCTAGGGACATCCTGAATTTTCAATTTTTAATTTTAGAATGTCAACCAGGACCCTCACACATAATTGTGCCTGCATGGTGGTCAGTCTTTGTGACATGTCTGTCTGTTTGTCATTGACCTCCAATGGAATGGATCATTGCCTATACATCTAGACTCTGGATTGTCTTGTTCATCGATTTTTATTTACAGACTGCTATGATATAGATGGAAATTTCCTGATTGTAGTTTGAAGCAACATTTGCAGCCTTTATACTGTCTTTATTTCCTTGTTGTAGAGAGGAAGACATGCTGGATCTTGCTGTGTTTCTCAAGCCAAACTCCCGATTAAGTAAGTTTCATTAACCACTGTACTTGGCTATTTTTCAGAGATAAGGTCAATATCATTTTGAAACATGCAATCTGTGTATAATTATATGTTGATTATGGATCCATGGAGTTCTATCAGTGTTTGTGCACACACGCACGTTTTTCCTGAAGAGTATATTGAATATACTTAATAACGTATATTTGTTCTTTCTATATATTATTATACCCTGGCTATGAAGTAACGGTATATAGCGTTCATTCTGTCCTTCTGTCCATCTTTCTGTCCCGAAACGACCGCCTCCGTGGTGTAGTGGTTAGAGCGTCTGCCCGGAGAGCGGAAGGTCGCGGGTTCGATCCCCGACCGCGTCATACCAAAAGACGTTAAAATATGGTACTTGTTGGACCCTGCCTGGCCCTCTGCATTAATGGGTACAACAAGGACTGGTCGGCTCGGAGTCAGTGTAATGTGTCTTCACTGTGGCTTGGTATCTCAGTGGGCTAGCACTATAAAGCCAGCTTCAGTCTGGGCTAGTACAATCAGCCGCACATACACATACACATGCATGCACGTCGTCATATGAGCAAAATATTCTCTAGTGCGACGTTAAACCCAATTTCACCTCGCCTCACCTCTGACCCTAAAACTTTGTCCGGAGCATATCTCTTTAAGTTTACATGCTAGGTTCACCAAACTTCACACATGTTAACCATTACCCATAAATGTGCCTTTTGCTATTTTAAAGTTTATCAGAATTTTATTTTCTTGCTATTTCCATAGAAACATGACTTAGTGCAAAATGTGTTTGATGGTTATCTTGTCCGGAACATATCTCTGAAGCTATACATACTAGGTTCAATTATCATTGTAATCAGTAAATGGCAAAACTATTATCTAACACGTATATAAAGTTTGGTGGAGTCGAGGAAAACGTCATGTGAGCTGCTGATGCTTGTCTCATCATATATATCAGTATCAGTCATTTCCATGACCCAAAGTGGGAATCGGAGGTATGTGAGCTGTGCTCACTTCTACACTTGTGATACATGTATGGAGGTTGTCAGAGATTAACTGCGAGTTTGTCTTCACCAAAAACACCCTTTTGCATTGTTTATATTAAGGTAAAACCCTCATTTAGAATGTATTATCTCCATGGTGGTGTGCAGTATTTATATCACAACCTATGTTTGCAACAAGGAATGTCCTTCATGTGTGTAGATGACATTGAAGGTCAAGGTCACAAAAGTGTGAAACATATCTTCCAAACAACTTGTGAAGACAATATCTTGATGATTTATTCTTTTGATATGAGGTTTGGGTCTTGTTAAGGAGGGCTATTGATGACCTCCACTGAAGGTTCAGGTGACCAGAACCCTTTTTGTCAAAAGAGGAAATAATGATTTTAATGCATGAGAACTAAAACCATTTTCCAGTGATTATACTCATTGCATAAGTAGTATTCAGTGCTTTCTCCTTTACTTGGCATGATACATGTAGTTGCAGGTCCAGGTTCCTGTGAGATGGAGGATACATGTGGTTTCATGACCTGTGTCCTGTGAGATGGAGTACATATGTGGTTTCATGACCTGTGTCCTGTGAGATGGAGGATACATGTGGTTTCATGACCTGTGTCCTGTGAGATGGAGTACATATGTGGTTTCATGACCTGTGTCCTGTGAGATGGAGGATACATGTGGTTTCATGACCTGTGTCCTGTGAGATGGAGGATACATGTGGTTTCATGACCTGTGTCCTGTGAGATGGAGGATACATGTGGTTTCATGACCTGTGTCCTGTGAGATGGAGGATACATGTGGTTTCATGACCTGTGTCCTGTGAGATGGAGGATACATGTGGTTTCATGACCTGTGTCCTGTGAGATGGAGGATACATGTGGTTTCATGACCTGTGTCCTGTGAGATGGAGTATATACGTGGTTTCAGGTCCAGGTTCCTTTGAGATGGAGTATACAGTACAACCAGAAATTATTGAGAATTTAAGATTGTTATTTTATTTATTTTTTCACTCATTACTCACGTATTAAATGTGAATATTAGCAGAACATAACTCCAGATTCAAAGACAGGTGAACAGTTAGTATTTTGTCAAGTCACCATGGACAGCAATGCAGGGGCATACTACTGATCAAAGAAGTTAGAAAGTCGTCCATACTGTCCCAATATTGGACCACCTCTTCTTTCATTTCAGCAATATTTGTCAGATTTTTCTTATTGACACTTTCCTTCATAAGTCCCCAAACATTTTCTATAGGATTTAGGTCAGGGCTATAGCTTGTCCAATCTAATAATGTCATATTTGGGTCCAAAACCAGGCCTGTGAATGCTTTGAATGATATTTTGGGTCGTTGTCCTGCTGGAAAATCCAAAAATTTCCATAGAACACGTGAGCAGATGGAAGTAAATGTCCCTCGAGAATATCTGTGTACCGTTCACTGTTCATATTCCCTTCAAATACACAGAAGAGCGTTGCCACCCCACACGTTAAATTTCGGACAGTACTTTGGGCGCTGATACAAAGGTTTTTCAGTTTATTTGGTACAGATTTTCAGTGTATTAGGAAACAGCCACACAGAACTTTCATCTGAGAAAATCACATTGTCCCAGTTAAAATTTCTATGCTGTAAGCACCAGTTCAACCTTCGCTCTTTTTGTTCAGGTTTTATGATCAGTGATTGAATTCCTCGACTTTTCTGCCAACCCATTGCATGCAGCTCAGTTCTAATTGTCTCCTTACAGACAGCCACAGTTCCTCTATCAATCATATCCACCCTTAAGTTTTCTAAACTCCTTCGTTTGTTTTTAGAAACAAGAATACCAAGCCGCCTCCTGTCGCCGACAGTCAATTTTCTGGGCCTACCTGCGCCTCCCTGGTGCTCAATGCCATATCCATTTGCAATTTTTTTCAAAACACGATAAACAGTGGACAAAGGGATGCCTGTTCTACTTGAAATCACTTTAGCTGATGTGATGTCCTTGTTATAATACTCTAAAATCAACTTCCTCTTCTCTAAATCATCCATACTGAGGATCACTGAAAATGTCGTCTGCTAGCAAGTAAACAAAGGGTGATAACTCTTCACAAACTAATGAAAAAGGATTAACAGAGTTGTCTCTCTTGAATGAAACCAAGCACTTGATAACTGGTCAAGGTTGTTTATACTAGAAATCCAATTAAACATATTCCTAAAATTCACAATAATTTCTGGTCATACTATATATGTGGTTTCTGGTCCTGGGTCCTGTGAGATGGAGTATACATGTGGTTTCAGATCCTGTGTCCTATGGGATGGAGTATATATGTGGTTTCAGGTACTGTGTCCTGTGAGATGGAGTATATATGTGGTTTCAGATCTTGTGTCCTGTGGGATGGAGTATATATGTGGTTTCAGGTCCTGTGAGATGGAGGATATATGTGGTTTGATTTAAACATATTTTTATTCATGAAGATGAATTGGGATTGGTGAACAAGCATTACTGCTTATGTTAACACCGCTCCCATGCAACGTATAATACAACATGAAATGGGGGATTTGACGTCATCGATACTGACCATTGCATAAATATATTTTTAAATATATATAAATATATACAGATTGCATGAAATACAACTATTCTCTAAGTAGTCATAAGTTAGAGAGTTACAGTTGTGTGTGTCTAACAAGCCATTGTAGAAATATACATCAAGCATGAGAAGGTTGATCAGTAAATATAATTATTTTCCTGAGAAAATTTGAAGCGTTGTGTCTTGGTTATATAATCGTGGACGCATTCAACTATTTTCTGGTTTACACAGGGAGTATATATATATGTGGTTTCAGATCCTGTATCCTGAGAGATGGAGTATACATATGGTTTCAGGTCCTGTGTCCTGTGAGATGGAGGATATATGTGGTTTCATGACCTGTGAGCTGGAGTATATATGTGGTTTCAGGTCCTGTATCCTGTGAGATGGATTATATATGTGTTTGTGGTTTCAGGTTGTCAGATTATCCTCAGCAAAGAAATGGAAGGCCTAGAGTTGACACTGCCTAAAGCCACTCGGAACTTCTATGTTGATGGACATGTCCCACAACCTCACTGAAGTCACAATATGAAGAGATAAACTTTGTATAAACTGATTGCCATGATGTCCAGGCAAGAGGTGTTCACAGATGTCTTTCTACCAACTAGGAGTGGCTACCTACTGAACATTTTCCTCAGGGTATAATCTCGTTTGCAAGTAATACAGGATTTCTGACAGTACCTTATCGTGATAGAGAGGTACAGTTATGTGAACAAAGGACAAGGCCTGTCAGATGTCCTATGAGAGCTAAAAATATTCAAGTCTTGTGTTTAGCATGCCTTTGTATGCAGTGAACAGTATGTGCAAATGACTCTTTACACTCATAGCCGAGGTGTTTAAATCTTGAGTCAGAGTCTGATGTATTTGGTTGGAGAACAGTATCAGGACTATGAGCTACATATGTGGATTTAACAAACACCCACTGCCATGCTTTGCTCTAAGAGGAGACTGTTTTCATGGTCATGTCATAAATCATAGATAACAACTTCAAATGTAAAACCTCAACCTTGCAAATGAAAGTTAAAGGTCACATGCAACCAAAAAAATCAAACATAATTAAAACACAGTTATCACTTATTCATGACATATAATACACATTGCGGATTATGAAAACACATATAAACAAAATTATAAGCGTACAATCGCAAATCAAAAGTGCAATATTTTGTACTTGGGTTTACTTCCCTCGAAACGAAGCAGCCGGGATACCGAACCCAGTCAGAGCGGGTGGGCGCGTGCACTCAAGTGTAACGAGGTCTTTCATTGCCTGGTTCATTTGCTGATGCCCTCATGGCTCATTGTGTATGTGTATATAGAGATGTTGGGGTTTGTAAATACATGCTCATTTTTTGTGTATAGCATTTTGCAATCAACAGACATCATAACATGTCATGTGTACAAGTATCACACCTGCCTGTCTGTGTAATTACATAATGTGACAGAGACCAAACTCGGGCCATAAATCAATGTGTTTTGTTTATGGTGTATAGCCTGATAGGTGTTAAGTTCAAATTGCATGTGGTCAGTGATCGAGGTTGTGTATTGAATATTGTCATTAGCAGCCTGGCAGGCAGACACATAGGTGTCAATAAAACAGACATTGAGTGTTGTCTGTGACAACGACATATCTATATCACAGCTAGAAATTCTGTCAACGCTAAATAATGACATTGCTTTTAAGTATCGAACTGAGAAAGTGATTCGGTAAGGAGAACGTGTGGTGAAATAGACAAATGAAATTATATAAACAGTTAAATCGGTAATCCACTGTCATAACATATAAAAAGCTCGCGCCTGTGAAATATCAACAAAACATTAGAAAAACAGCTCACATCAAAGCCTTCACCGAGTATTCACCGAAAGCGAAGGTTTTCCGTCTTGAAATGTCGAATGCCTCTTTGGTTGACACATAGCTGAGTAGATCTAGATCCTAACAAGGTTCTTGTATGTAATGAGTAGATTATTTACTATTTGTTTTGGTTAGACTACTCCTGCTCACAACCTTATATTATATCCGGACATCCCGCTTCCAAGCTGCGCGAACCTATTTCGCTGAGCGCATGCGTTGTGAGCGCAGCCCAGCAGAGCTGTTGAAACCACTTTTCACCCCAAGCACTGGGGTGAATTTAGTGAATCGTTTGAACTCTGATTTCGTGGGTTTTTTTTATACATTTATAAGTTGAATTTGCATTATTGATGATTTGTATCTGTAAGTCCATACCGAAAGGTATCAGAATCTGCAAAGTTGTATTTTACGTTGCATGTGACCTTTAAGTTGATCAAATTTTTTTCTGCATATATACATAAAAGAGATTAATTCTTTATTATAACCTCAGTTATAGTTTCTTAATACATGTACAATACATACAGTATCTTCTGATTTAAACAGTCAAGCCTAGTTCTGCATCTCAGCTTCTAGGAGTAATGAGACATGCATGTTCAGCGTAACATCTTCATGGTGAAGATCTTTATGTTCATTTTGTAACGAAAGAAATGGAAGGAATAACCATCACTAAACCTAACATTCTTCTTATCTAGACTGAAACTTCAGGAGAATACAAAGTATCATAATAGGTGAGAGATTTGTTATGATTATTAGAGATGGAGCTTTGTCTGGATTTGTATTACCATATAGTTTATGTTATTTACCAGGATCAAAGTAAGTAATACTTTACATGAAAGGTATTACCATAATAAAGTTAAAGAATATTGCTTTGAGATATTACTGACATTTTGCAGCCTTGTGGCAGCTGATGGTTCTTAATTCACTATGTACAACATTCACCTTTGTTTGGGTTAACTTTGGCACAAGACGCACGCTCCCCACTAGCTTTCTCTGGGGTAAGTACTCAACCTTATAAATTCAGGTCTGATGTGGTGAATGTATTGTGTGTTATGTAATTTGCAGATTGAAGCATGACAATAGAGAAATTATCAGTAGAGTTTAACACACAAAATAATCAAATTATTAACAGATAAATCGTTGATTGATCAATTGCAGAGTGTTTCTTATGTTTATGTATTTAGGTTTACTGAAACAGACGAAATACATGAATATCTTGGTGTAAAGTGCCTGTGTCAACACAACCTACTTTATTCAAAGGATTAGCTAATAATACGGTGATTGGTTGCTCAATGGCATTAAACTAAATCATATTTAATCAACAAGACCAGGAGACATCATGAAAATAGTTGTCACATGTCTTATCTCAATTGCCCAGTGACACTTTATGCGTAGGTGAAAGACCTGAAACAAACTTATGCCACCAGTCCAGAAACAAACACACATTACGAAACACCTTACATATTTTACAATATTGGAATAAAAGATTTGTGAGCTGCAGATGTTTGGGATATTTGCCTTTATGTGGATGTTGACAGATGCATTCCTCGAACAACCTAACTGATATAACATGTATGACTCGACAGTAATAATTTACGTTATTACGATGCTATTTTCATATATTTGGTGTAACATCAAACAGAAGCTGTGTGGAGTTCAGTGCAATATAAATGGCCTTATTATTACTTCAATTATTATCATTGAAGTTCTTCAGACAACAGACAGGCAAAACTAAGCCATTTCACAAGTCTGTTTTATTGTAGCGATGTATATGTAAAGTATGATACACTTAAACCTCTGTCACACTCTACCACGTTTCCACGGAATTGGCACTGCTTTGTGAAATTTCTCAGAGTGCCATGGGATTGGAAGAAAATTATGAAAAAATGTTTCACTTTTATTTAAAATTTTACAAGATGTAGATGTCATGGTGTCCTTATGGCGAATGTAGCGTTCCCACATACTTCTAGTTGGCTATTGACAGCACTCTCACAGAGAGCTCACGGCGTGCTAAGTGTTGCCTATGTGCATCCATGGCGCGTATACTGCGCTGACGGAATGCCGCATGTATATAGGCAATGAGTAGCCTGTCTTGCCTCTTGCATAACAGTCATGGTGAAATGAGGGTGACAAAGATGAGAATGCATTTATACCATTTTTATGGGGTTGGCTCACAACGCACTGGCATTCATGCCCTGAAAACACATACCACATTTGGTTTCCCTCTCTATAACAGGTACTGAGAAAATCTGTCCTCATTGGGGATACTGTGCACTAAGTCAAGAAACACATGACAAGGGCCAGAACTCTGTAACAAATTGTAACACAGTTTCTGTTTTGAACTCCATCAAGGCATTCATGTCCTGAAAATACATACCACATTTGGTTTCCCTATTTATAACGTTTTTTGTGAAAATCTGTCCCCATCATCTCAGACGGACAGAGCTCAAACCAATATCCCCCTCCCACTTTGTGGCGTTCTAGGCGAGCCAACCGGGTCAAATTGAGATGCCACTGCATTCTAGATTTTTTGCAAGGACTCCACATGATCGCCATGAGATCACAGCCCTGGTGTAACAGCTGTTTTAGACAATATATAGGATGTGAAGATATTTCATTAGGATTAGAAGCTAAAAATTATGAACATGTACATTGACTTCTGTTTTCTTTCAATTGTTTTCAGACTTTGTGTTCGTACACTGACCGGTGTGTAGTTGAATGTGCAGTGTGCAACAGATGGATAATACCTTGTGCTAGTTGATTCATACTTCTGCTGCACAGAAATGAACACTCTGATCACTACATCTCCAGTGCTAGCACAGTGCTAGGTTTGGTGTTCCAGATCTCCCACAAGGACCACAAGGACTCATGGGTTACCCACACTTTTTCTACACCCAAGAAGTTTCCTGTTACATAACATGTCAACATTTTTTAAAGTGCCAGAGATTGACAAAGAGTAATCGTTCATGAGCAATTCCATGTTTAGGTCTTAAAGAGTTAAGGAGAAGTAAGCGCTACTAGACACTACTTCCAGATCTTTCTTCAGACTGACCATGTTTCGGGGTGGTGGGGTAGCCTAATGGTTCAAGCGTCCGCTTGTCATGCGGAAGATCCAGTTTGATTCCCCACATGTGTACAATGTGAGAAGCCCATTTCTGGTGTCCCCTGCCGTGATATTGCTGGAATATTGCTAAAAGCGGCGTAAAACCAAACTCAGTCAGTCATCAGTGGGCCTGAGTGTGCAGGACTGCCTTTGTTTCTGCCTGCATGAGACTGGTTGTGTGATTCCACTTGAAAAGGACATCAAAACAAGACTCCCACTAGCATGAATATAGCTTTCAGAGTATTTTTGTGGGTTCTGATCGGATCTCCCAGGTAGTATAACCAGCATGTGACATGAACAACTTATTGCTAATATTGCTAAAAGCGGCATAAAACCATACTCACTCACTCACTAGCTATGTCTCTGGCTATCAATGAGGCTAAGCTAAATGCCTTAAAGAATCCTCAATTGGACCAAATGTTTCCTTATGAGATGCTTGCTCATAAGAGGAATCAAGAATTCATAGAAGATCATGTTAGTTCTATGGCAACTGGGCTGACACTTCTGTGTTGGCAAGGATTCAATTCTCAGTGGTCAGGCCCCTACACATCTGTTACATCATTCCTATGAGGCACCTACCATCTTTGATGGTTGTATTAATCATGCGAACTTGGAAGTTGTTAAAGATTCCAAAGATCAAATCCTGATTTAATCAGTACAAAGAAAGAATTCAGTGTACAGACAGTCGATGCAGAGAACCCCCAATTTGGTGTGTGTGTGTGCGCGCTCGTGCGTGTTTTTTTAAGAACAAAGTTACAAATGTCGCAAATTACTGCTAGTGAATTCTGAAATATGTCATACTTTAAGACTTGACTGGGTGAGACTTGTCAAACACAAGGTGACATCACATTGTATTGATCATATTATAGGAGGTTGGAGTATCAGGTAAAATGGGGGTCTAGATTCTTTTTGCAAAGAGGCTGTGCTACATTACAATAACACAGTATGATCATCTCTACTACACTGTATGTAGAGGCACAGAACAACAAAGAACATGACCACTTAAGACCATCTGAGTCCATATATTCTTTGGATACACTGCATTTTATGAAATGGCATACATCACATTTTATCATGTCAAATTTACAAAATACTAGTATCCTCTCGGATATCAGGCACATGGTATTAAACATACTATACACAAACTGAAATGTTTTTCTCAATATTCCTTAAACTTGTTATGGATGTGAACAGAACTTGTGAAAAATGTTCCATAGCAACAATGTATAGAAGGGTACACTTCCTTACTTTTCATTATCAATGAGCAATACATTTCATGAAGCAGTCTTCTGCATTGTATAGTCTCTTCACATAACAAAGAAGCAGGAGAGATTGGCTGGCGTATCGTATTCAACCTTTGTGGACTGGTTGTTGGGCAATCCAGTGTGTTACGGATAAAATAGGGATAACAATGACTTAAAACCCCACTCACAAACTCACTGAATTTATCTGACCAAACATTAATTCATCTTTCACAGTCAAAGAACACAGTTTTTCTAGCAGTATACATATCGATTTGTGATAGAGATGTGCACATTTATCACAGTTTTAGCTGTGGTGTACAAATAGAAAAATGCATAATATACACAATATCTATCACAGAGGAATCTGTGTTTTGGAAATGTTACTGAGTCTGTATCAACTTAATGCTTGGAAGAAGCCCATTAGGTACACACACTTGAATGTTTCAGAAAGACTTAGGTCTGTTGACATTTTATGTCATGTTGTGTCGATGGCTTCAGCATCTAGGTTGGCTGTCCAGGCCACCAAGTCATCCACCTCCTTCTCCCACGGCTCATCCTTAGGGTTGAGAGCAGGCAAGGCACTGTCCAATACTATGTCAGGTGCAGGAGCTGGAACAACAATTTTTCTCATGCTTCAAGATGATCACTGACACTCTTATGAAGCCAAAAATTCAGCTGTGGGTTTATGTCCAGAAACCATGACCAAAGATCATCTGTTAAGCAACACCATCACTGCTGACTCTCTGACTGACTGACTTACTCACTAGTTACTTTAATATATAACTATGGTATTAATAGCATCATAGCTTGTAGTTTGCCAACACAGTCCTCACTTGGAGATACTCTGGGAGGAAGATATATCTTCTTCATCCGTTCCAGTCTATTGAGTTTAGCTGCTTTCTCTTCCTCTGCTGTAGGTCTCATCCCAAAACGTCCATACATCAGAGCAGAGTGTCTGGAATAATGTCATAATTTGGAATGAAATAACACATGTAATGCAGTTGGGTAGCTGGTTGTTTTGAAACATACTATCCTTAGGGAATTTCTTTTGTTTCATAAAAAACAGGTCTAAACAGTCTTTTCCATGAACTGGTTTCAAAAGCAGCAACATGTTTTTATTCAAGGGGAAAAGACCAAAGGATTATAATTCTGAATTCCATTGTTTGCTCTTAACCTTTCAGCCTCACATCTGCAAAAACTTCAAAGGAAAATGTTTTTAGGTTAAGGTAATAACATCATTGCTTCAAGTATATATCACATACCGTATTATAAACTTTGAATATACTCATTATTCACTACTTATACATCTCTCTTCTGTTATGTGCAAGAACATAACTTTGGGAGGGGTGGGTGGGGTGCTGGTAGGTAGAGAGAGTGAGGTGTGTGTGTGTGTGTGTGCTAGAATAATACTTGCAGGCTTGACAGACAAAAACAAAGTATGATATTCAGACAAACCATCAATGTCATAATCTCCAATAATCTTTCCCCAGTATCGGGAAGCTCAACTGGTAGTTTCTTTGAATGCACTACAGGTGTTTTGTGGCGTAGGTGATCCACTATGTGACCCAACACACTAAAACCATGGATGCTGTCCATGTCATCTTCTGACATGTCCCTCAGACATGGTCCGATCTTTCAGAAGCATCTGTCTCTAATGGCTGCAGCCATGTAGGTATGCTGGATGCCATGGAGATCCCTTGTGGGGATAATCACCTGGGCTTTGTGTGGGATGCTGACCAGAGGATTCTGTTACATACATCTGCTGGCTGGTAGAATGAAGCACAAAGAGACGGTGTATCTGTGGACTCCAGCCATGCTGTTCTAAGTAGACTGTATGCATTCAAGGACAGTTCACCTTGCACAAGGCAGAGGAAATGTCATCTTCAGATCCTATTGTGCTGGCAACTGTTTTTACCAGCTTGCTCAAATGGAAGTTGAAGACATCAAATGCATTGATTTCATCAACCTGTGCCAGTATTACTAATGCAAGTAAAGGTGAGGTACATAGGGCTCCTGACGTAAGTGCTGTGGCATGATATAAACCAGCCTGTGGTAGAAACTTCAGTTATTGTTCCTGCAGTAGTCTGAAAACAAACAGCATAACCTGAAGTTCTGGCATATTGGAGACCTTCTGATCTCTCAGGAATGCCAACACAGTATTAATTAGGTGGCACCCTGTAGTCGTCATTGTCTGCATTAAACAGTGGTGAAGCTGTCATATGCACTTGTCATGCTGCAAACAGCATATCGGAAATAATCTCCACATTGCACAAACCTAGTAGATAATGAGCCTGAGGGTCTGCTTGGCCATCCATTTGGAGTACCGTAACCTTTCCTGTTCAAGATTTCCTGCTTTCAGTCCAAACATGCAGCATGAGCACTCTTGGAGTAAGGTGAGGCTGTAGCAGTAACCTGTAGGCTCCTTGAGGGGGCCTAAGATTGTATGGAAAGCCTGACTATAAACAAGTGGGATAAGTCCTGACTTGTTGATAACCCACTCCTCTGGAAAAGAGTTCCTCCATTGGTTGTGATGACCTATGTGAAGAAAACTAAGATACCTCCTGTTGCTGGTGTATCACCTGATGCATGGAGGATCTATGTGGGTGATATGTTCCTTGTTGCCATAACATCGCCTGAAGAGTCCATAAAGTAGTGTGAGCCTGGGTTAATGCCAGGACTTACCGGGATGTGGGCTAGACGGATCTCAAATTAATCTGATCATGGCAATCTGCCCACTTTATTCCAAGCAGTAGAGTGTAGTAGATGCCAATGCTTAACACGAGAGTACCTGGTTCTCTTCTACCATCAACTGCCAAAATGCTCCATGTTTAGCATTGAATGCTTGAAGTAACAAATTACTGCCTTTTTCAATGACACCATCGCATATAAAGTCTGTGTCAACATACTACCACATACATGGGTAGAAGTGAGAAGATTTACAGCTATGTCTGGGATTTGGACCAGTTAGTGAGTTAAAAGTTAACGTCACAAGGGCAAAATTTCAGCCATATCATGAAGAGAGAAAATATTTCGGAATAATAAAAAACCTAATTAAATGGTACAAAATCCTGTCATCAAAGGACTGTATTATCACATATTATTTAAACCTATCATATATGAGCATGTCCTGGACCAGGATTGTGCTACTTTGAGCTGGCATCCACTCAATGATATTAGAGTCCACCAAATGATAGTAGTTCAGGCAGAACAAGACTTCTGAGAAGGTCTAACAGTCTCATATGATTGGTGGGATGTAGACGCTGGTTGACATGATAAATGCCTAGGCTGAGCTTGACTCTAAACCCTCATGATGAACCTTGTATGATCAGAACAATTGGTCTATCCTCATGACGTTCATCAGACAACCTGTCACGTAGTAGGTCAATGCGGCAAACACCTCTCAGGTGGATGTGCTTCTCTGAGTGAGACTTCTCTAAGCAGAGCACCTATCAGGTGCCAAGCACCTCTTTGATGGGTCTCTTTGGCCACATGCCTTTTACTGTGCCAGCACCACCTTGATGGCTCATTTAGGGTAATCAAAAGAGTGTCACAAGACTGACTGCATCACTCCATGGTCAAGGAGCAGTAATCCACAGACTGGTAGTTATTGCAGACTTGGTCATCAGTGAAGATTCCTCTTTGGTGTTGTGAGGACTGCTGCTCTGGCCTCTTTCCCTGGACATCTTTAGACAAGCCCTGAAGTCTAAGAAACAAGGGGCAGACAACCAAACTCACTTAACTGGATCACAGGCTGCAAAACAGGCACAAGTCAAGGATATATTTGGCACATCTTTGGGTACCACAGGCAACAATATTTAAAGTGAAGTTCTGAAAGTATAGCACAATGAGAAAGATGTCAAAATTCTGTGTTGCTGATGTGTGTGTAATGCATAAAATACATAAATAATGCACTTAACTAATGTGCATAAATATGTTAGCAATATCTAACATATGTAACATACTTAAATATGTGGATATAGCATGAACTTACCTCCTGCAATACTCTCAAGCCAGAACAAAACCTGTCTAACAGCACTCAAAAGTCAAAATAGTGGGGAAACAAGGCACGTACCACTCGGAAGGGAAAAATTAACAATGTGCACAATACAACACAAGTGAATAAACAACCCAATTGTTCAAGAATAGGTTAAATAACCAGCTTAGCGGCAAAGGATAAGTTTCACAGCACAAGTGTTCATGTCAGCAAAACACAGAACTGTGGGGCATATGCTGGCTGGTTGGTGAGGGCAGACTGTATTAGGGTGAGCAGTTCCTTGCTTGCTTAGGAACTAGTTTTTCTGAATTAGGATGACAATGATACCTACTCCTGCATCTGTTTCTTAACCTGCAGTTGGATCTCTTCTGGGGGGAAGTCCCATATGTACTTGCTGCAACACTGGTTTGTCCCGGATTGTCTCCAACACTGTATCAGTAAACAATCAAATATCAACATTGTGAATCACCTTATGTTAGATACAGCATACGCACAATTTGAAATTCCCACAGTATAACACATAAAAAGGCTAACACCAAAAGTGCAGAACAGAAACTTCTAATATGAGTCTACTACTGTCTTCAACTGGCCATTGCTTATGTTTATAGACAACATCAAAAAGGAGTACAGATGAATTGAGAACCATTGGGATAAAACTGGCACTACAGGCCTACATTTAGCATATGAACAGGTACATACAAGGATTTTTGCTGTGATCTCTAGCCTTGGAAGTAGCCAAACCACACCATGTTGTGTGGTAGTCATCGAAGGAGAGTTTTGAGATGCGGGATGGCACTGTGCTGACTCGGGTGGATGGCTCTCCCTTCTTTGTTTTGGCATCAATGTCCACTTTGCTTTGAGGCTGAGGCAGCACTCCAGCTAACAACAAAACACATGAACATAAGGAGCCAGCAGAGCCACACATTTCAGTAAGAAGACCACATAGGGGCATTACAGTGAAAGTGAACAGGTCTGTTGGAATTTTGCTCAACATACAAAACATCAAACATTTCCCCTAAAAGATCTACAAATGGGAGTATTCCCCTAAAAGATCTACAAATGGGATATATGATTGTAACATGCGTAAACGGCAAAGTAATGGTCGAAAATCGAAAGGGAAGGTATAATACTTTAGTCCATCAAAGCTCAACGGTGAAAGAGAACTTGAAAATAAACATGGAGTTACTATGTACATTCAGTGAGCTAAGTTTTTAAAGCATATCTTTAGTCATGAAGTAAGGAATGTGTGTCTGTGTGACCTGTGTGATGAAACACAAAATGTAATCTTTACATCATTATCAACGTAACAAAGATACACACTAAGTATCCCTTCCTTTGATTACACAATGCCATTTAGAAAGTGGTCAAATGTAACATGTGTTATATTTGGGATTACACTTTCTTAGTAAAGTACAAATTCTAGTACTCCTTATGAGTTGAGCCCCATCCTGGATTCGAACTCACACCCTCAGAGTCAGGCACCTAATCACCAGCACACAAAGTCAGCCGCCTAACCCGCTCAACTACGTGGAAGTCGCGGTAGCTGAGCGGCTGACTTTGTTAGGCGGCTGACTTTGTGTGCTGGCAATTAGGTGCCTGACTCTGAGGGTGTGAGTTCGAATCCCGGATGGGGCTCAACTAAAAAAGTACTAGAATTTGTACTTTACTAAGAAAGTGTAATCCCAAATATAACACATGTTATATCCCTTCCTTTGGTGAAGCAGTTTCTGCTGGTATTATATTTCTGAAAAATTGTCAACAATTACAAAAATTGTACAAGTAATAGTGCCTAAGAGAAACAATAAAATTATCATATAAAAGAGAAACATAATAATGACAATCTACACAAAGTTCAAGCTTGATCATTGTGATAATAATAGTGTTACATATGGTTTCCAGATTCAAGCACAAAAGTAACCTCTGAAATCTACATTCAGAATTACATTGTGAAATCAGTGAATGACAAGATAAGATCAAAGAACAATCAATACATAATGTTTTAAGTGCATGTTTAAGTTCACAGTCTTACACATGTCAGGTAGGTGGCAGCAGCAAGTCACTGGTGCCAAAAGTCATGCACTCATTTTGTCTTGTCAGAATTCATGAAACCTGTCTCCACCCTTGGTTCCATATTTGTGTTAAAGTGAATTGGTTTTTACCAGATAAGTATTAAAATCCAAATCAAGTAGTCCTATCACTCCATGAAAGAGCAAGCCTGCCATGTTTGTTTACAGGGACCATGAGCATGAAATCTGTAACTACTTCCACCCCCAACAGCACACGCCATGTTATAGGCACCTCAATCATCGGACTAAAACTACAAATGCTTACAACCACCTCCACTGCCACCAACACCACTCATGCATAATAATATACATTTTCTTTTCTTTTTAGGAACCAAAAGCATGATTCAAAACCCACTGTATTTTAATTAATTTCCATGCCAGTCACTACTACATAATGGGTCTAAGGTTACACCTGTCTAGGCCATGCGGTTGTGACTCTTACCTTCCATCTGCTGACTGGCAGCAACACAGTCCTGCACCATCTGTCGGTAGGAGTGGGGCGAGTGTTGCACCATTTCCACAGCCTCCATATTCACAGCCCCAGTCAAACTTGGGTTGGACAGTAGTGACTAAGGAGAGATGAGTAAACATCATTGTCTTGCAAGTAATCATGTGCTGCAATTCATGTTCTGAAAATCCTCTTCAATGTCCTAGATTTCTGTTAGATTGTCCATTACCACATAGGGGTTGTATTTCTATTCACATATGGGGGCATTATTCTCCCTTCTGCCCAGTAGCCCTAAATGAAGCAAGTCTAGATTGCCTCAGGTTCTGAATCTCCCATCTCAACATGGGCTCCTTTCAGTTTAAATGGAATTATTGTTTCTATCAGAATTATGTTTTCAAAGACTAAGCATTGCCCTTGGGGACTGTCTATCTAATGACACATAGCAACTGTCTATATATTGATATGTAGGGTCTCTATATCTATTGACATGGAGGGATTGTATATCTATTGACACCCTAACGGGTATGAACAACAAAGTCATGGTGATGCTACACCCTAACCTGTGTGGTCAACAAAGTCACGGTGATGCTGTACCCTAACCTGTATGGACAACAAAGTCATGGTGATGCTACACCCTAACCTGTATGGACAACAAAGTCATGGTGATGCTACACCCTAACCTGTATGGACAACAAAGTCATGGTGATACTACACCCTAACCTGTATGGACAACAAAGTCATGGTGATGCTGTACCCTAACCTGTATGGACAACAAAGTCATGGTGATGCTGTACCCTAACCTGTATGGACAACAAAGTCATGGTGATGCTGTACCCTAACCTGTATGGACAACAAAGTCATGGTGATGTTACACCCTAACCTGTACAGTGTATGGACAACAAAGTCATGGTGATGCTGTACCCTAACCTGTATGGACAACAAAGTCATGGTGATGCTGTACCCTAACCTGTATGGACAACAAAGTCATGGTGATGCTGTACCCTAACCTGTATGGACAACAAAGTCATGGTGATGCTGTACCCTAACCTGTATGGACAACAAAGTCACGGTGATACTACACCCTAACCTGTATGGACAACAAAGTCACGGTGATGCTGTACCCTAACCTGTATGGACAACAAAGTCATGGTGATGCTGTACCCTAACCTGTATGGACAACAAAGTCATGGTGATGCTACACCCTAACCTGTATGGACAACAAAGTCATGGTGATGCTGTACCCTAACCTGTATGGACAACAAAGTCATGGTGATGCTGTACCCTAACCTGTATGGACAACAAAGTCATGGTGATGCTGTACCCTAACCTGTATGGACAACAAAGTCACGGTGATACTACACCCTAACCTGTATGGACAACAAAGTCATGGTGATGCTGTACCCTAACCTGTATGGACAACAAAGTCATGGTGATGCTGTACCCTAACCTGTATGGACAACAAAGTCATGGTGATGCTACACCCTAACCTGTATGGACAACAAAGTCATGGTGATGCTACACCCTAACCTGTATGGACAACAAAGTCACGGTGATGCTACACCCTAACCTGTATGGACAACAAAGTCATGGTGATACTACACCCTAACCTGTATGGACAACAAAGTCATGGTGATGCTGTACCCTAACCTGTATGGACAACAAAGTCACGGTGATGCTGTACCCTAACCTGTATGGACAACAAAGTCATGGTGATGCTGTATCCTTCCTTCCACTTCTCAAAGTTATCCAAGAAGTCAATGCAAGGCCTGCCTGTGATCATGTCAACTGAAACAAAGGTTTTATAGATATACATGTACCATGCATATAGATCAAGGGATTTTAGTGTCATTTGTCATTATTAGCAAATCCAAATAAAATACAAGATATTCTAATTCATAAGTGCTAGTGCACAATATTCATCTAATCTCACTGCCAAATACTGCTGCTATAAAATGAATGTATCCTGCTTAATTAGTGCTGGTTATCGCTCACATTATGCAGATCGATAGTTAGAGCTCAGTAATTGATCAATAATCATATGTAATCATAAACCTCACCACCAAACTCATGTGGGCAATAACAGGACATAATCATAACATTGTGCAAATTAGACAGGCACCAATAAATACCACGATCAAGGTGAGGTGAGGTGAAATGGGGTTTAACGTCTTGCTTGAGAATAGTTCGCTCATATGACGACGTGCATGCGTGTGTATGTGCGGCTGCTTGTACTAGCCAAGACTTAAGCTGGTTTTATAGTGCTAGCCCACTGAGATACCATGCCGCAGTGAAGCATGAATACCCCACTCACACACATTATACTGACTCCGAGCCGACCAGTCCTTGTTGTACCCATTAATGCCGAGCGCCAGGCTTGGACCAACAAGTACCATATTTTAACGTCTTTTGGTATGACACGGCCGGGGATCGAACCCGCGACCTTCCGCTCTCCAGGCGGACGCACCAACTACTACAACAACCACGATCAAGACAATCGAGGATACTTCCTGTTGAGACACGCACTCAAGTATATTGTTTACATTGCAGCTTTACGAGTAAGGAAACTGCATCAATTGTTTATGTGTTGATTTAACAAACACAACAATAAGAAACATACTTTCTAAAGTTTAATTGGATGTTTCATATTTTGTGAAGACTGATTAGTCTAAAGAGGTCATCGATAAACGCTGACGCAAGCAAGATTGATTGTATGATTGATAATCAATCCAGCACTATGCTAAATCCAGGTATCCACCATAAACAGGATTTCAAAGTTTGTGCACAAGAAGTCCTATGTTTGGTCTTAAGGTGTGTGAAACGAGCTGTCTGACAACCAATGTTTAGCTTTAGAATTCAAAAGGTGGAAACCCGACTGACAGACAGATGAATGACAAATAGGCAAACAGTCATCACAAGTTCCAGTCACTGTGCTCAACTGGACATGTATCAGGGGAGACTAATAATGCCTGAGATTTACTGCAGAGTACGTTTAGTATATCCCTAAGAGTTCACATTATTAAGCATAATACTTTCAATTGTTAAAGGCTGTATTTGTCGAGAGAATTCAAGAAAGGAAGTCACAATCTCATGATGAAAGATGATCTAAGACTGCCATTACTAAGGAAACTGTTAACAAAATACATGATATGTTAATGAATGATAAATGAATTGCCTGACGTCAGAAAGCCAATAAACCAGAGATGTCTTATGAGAGAGCTGAGAACATTCTGAGGACAGAACTGGGCATGACAAAAGTTTAAGGATACTGGTTTCCATGACTTCTGATTCCTGATCAGATATGCCCCAGGTTCATCATCTCTCATGACAATTTACATTGTTCTAAAACAAACCAAAGCTGTTTTGGTGAGCTATTTCTAACCATCTATTCACCACTATGAGTTCACTACAATCAGTCAGAGACTAATACAGGTGGACTTCCTCCAGAAGAAAGTTCAGACTGAATTAAGCTGGGTGATTAACGCAACTGTGTGAGAACATCAAAGCTAAACATTATGTGAAAACTCAAATAGGTGTGCTGTGCCCAGGGGTTCATCTAGGATTCGAAACTCAATGCCCTTATCAGGTAAACTTTGAAACTCTGTTGAAGATTAATCAGTTTCTGGCGTCATTGTTCAACTTTTTACACCATTAAAGGGGCTTATGCTGAAAAATAACTGGCAACCAACAACATCAATTCAGACCAACATAGTGTGATTTTGATTCTTTCAGTAAGATACTCACTGTACATTGCTGTTAAGTACGTTGAGCTGCATGAGCTATTATATGAACTTAGTAAGATACTCACTGTTGGGATGGAATGGGATGGTATGAAAACACACTTGTGGTGGACGGATGTTGTAGTTCTCATCAAATTTGATGTAGAGACGAAAAATTCCTCCTAATAAATGGAACCACACCAAGACTTGGGTCAGAGGTGAACAATTGATTGAGAGCTTGTACTTTGTTCTGATAGGTTTGCATAACCTATTGCATGTTTCTATGCACTTATATATTAGCAGTTCTAAAGGACACTGCTAATAGTGAGTTGAGTTTTATGCCGCACTCAGCAATATTCCAGCTATATGGCGGCGGTCTGTAAATAATCGAATCTGGACCATACAATCCAGGGAACAGCAAGAACATCGATCTATGCAATTGGGATACGATGACATGTGTCAACCAAGTCAGCGAGCCTGACCACCCGATCCCGTTAGTCGCCTCTTACGACAAGCATGGGTTACTGAAGATCAATTCTAACCCAGACCTTCACGGGTCCCACTGCTAATAGCTAACACAGCAGTGCTGATGCAGTGTTAAACAATAACCACTCACTCACAGTTTATAAATGTCACTCCTAGTAAACAATAACTACTCACTCACTCATTCACTCACACTCATAAACATCATTGCTAATAAACAATAACCACTCACACTTATAAACATCACTGCTAATAAACAATAACCACTCACACTTATAAACATCACTGCTAATAAACAATAACCACTCACACTTATAAACATCACTGCTAATAAACAATAACCACTCACACTTATAAACATCACTGCTAATAAACAAGAACCACTCACACTTATAAACATCACTGCTAATAAACAATAACCACTCATACTTATAAACATCACTGCTAATAAACAATAACCACTCATACTTATTAACATCACTGCTAATAAACAATAACCACTCACACTTATAAACATCACTGCTAATAAACAATAACCACTCACACTTATAAACATCACTGCTAATAAACAATAACCACTCACACTTATAAACATCACTGCTAATAAACAATAACCACTCACACTTATAAACATCACTGCTAATAAACAAGAACCACTCACACTTATAAACATCACTGCTAATAAACAATAACCACTCATACTTATAAACATCACTGCTAATAAACAATAACCACTCATACTTATAAACATCACTGCTAATAAACAATAACCACTCACACTTATAAACATCACTGCTAATAAACAATAACCACTCACACTGCTATAAACATCACCACTAATAAACAATAACCACTCATAACCACTCATACTTATATAAACATCACTGCTAATAAACAATAACCACTCACACTTATAAACATCACTGCTAATAAACAATAACCACTCACACTTATAAACATCACTGCTAATAAACGATAACCACTCACACTTATAAACATCACTGCTAATAAACAATAACCACTCATACTTATAAACATCACTGCTAATAAACAGTAACCACTCACACTTATAAACATCACTTATAAACGTCACTGCTAATAAACAAAACGTTTATTTATTTTAAACGTTCGCATACCTTCCCATAAGGTGTCCTTCAAACCTTTGATCTTGGCAGCCCATTCAAATACATTATCTTCATTCAGAGGAAAAACTTCAATGCCCTGTAATACAAGAAATATTAACTGCTACAGGACCATATGCTGTCCTATCAGATCAAACTTATTAATGAATGGCGAAACTATTAAAGAAGTTTATAATCATAAACACTTAGGTATAATACTTCAAAGCAATTGTTCTTGGAAAGTACATATAGGTGACATGATAAAAATAATAAGTCCAGTGATCAGATTGAAATACCATTTATCTCGGAAAACGCTAAATACTATACATTTTGTATATAAGTCCTTTATCTCACCACTTTTAGATTACTGCTGTCATATATGGGATAACTGTACGATTGAACAGGCGATTTTACTGGAAAATTTACATTTAGACGCACTAAGAACTATATGCTGTGCAGCTTGTGGCACCAGTCATGATAAAATATACAGGGAAACCAATTACAGCACACCGAAAGAAAGACGACATCACTCTAAACTCATAATTTTCTATAAAATGTATCATTTTCTGACTCCTGATTATCTGAATGATCTTGTACAAGGTAGAGCAACAAAGCAACTATAATCTTAGAAACAGTACTTCCATTCAAGCTATCAATGCAAAGATACTCTCAATCATTTTTACCGAGCATGATTATGTCATGGAATTTATTGCGCGATGAAGCTGTTAATGCTACTTCCCAGAATCAATTTAAAACCATGATAAACCCAACAGAAACTCACAACTACTTTGATTTAAATGTTGGGACTAGATTTTGCCAAATCATCCACTGTCTGTCTCAAACACAGACAGATATAATGTATAAGGCTCGCGGTATGTGTCTGGCTCTGATGTGGACGTGAAGAGGGTTAACATTTGAAAAAACTAGATCATTAGATCCATCAGGATACACCACACCACTGGGGTGTTGTCTGAGTGTATCATAAGAGTGGACAGTTGCAGGATGCAGGACTAATAGGAGACAGCTTGGAATACTGCCTTGAACGTCTAGTAGATGAGCAACCCAGCCTTGCAGAGACGCATTGACAAACAGATGATGCCATGAACAGAGTTGAAAAGATTCTGTTGCAGACTTTTGAAACTATCATTCACCACTGCAGATGTCAAGGTCAATGATGCTGGTAAACAAATCATGGATCTGATACCTGGACGTAGGAAAAATGGATTGAGTGTAGTTGTTGCTGTCCACTGATAGTGAGAGATTGAACTGGCGTAAGCAGGCCCAGGAGCTCTTGCCACTGACATAGTCAATGGCACCTGATACTGTACCCTCTTACCCCTGTCAGGGAACAAACGTCTTCCATGTTGAATACAGCCCTGAGGTATTCTGAAGTTGCTGCGTTGGAGCCAACTCGGACTGAAGATCCATCCCAGCTCAGGCACACCCATGATCCATAGCATAGCTGCTTGAAGGTGCTAACATTGGTGATCCGACATGACGATCAATGGTGTGCGACATACGCATCATAGGAAAGCACACATAAAAGCTCCAAGCATCATCATTGAGACAGGTACGACAGGTTGAAGAAGGATCGACAAAGTAGTGAGGTGAGGTGAAATTGGGTTTTACGTCGTGCTTGAGAATATTTCGCTCATATGACGACATGCATGCGTGTGTATGTGTGGCTGCTTGTACTAGCCCAGACTTAAAGGTCACATGCAACGTAAAACACAACTTTGCAGATTCTGATACCTTTCGGTATGGACTTACCGAAACAAATCGTCAAAAATGCGAATTCAACTTATAAAGTTGAAAAATAACGCGATGAAAAAAAACGCGCGAAATCGGAGTTCAAACGTTTCACTAATTTTCACCAGACTTTTTTGGGGAAAACGGGTTTCAACAGCTGGGTTGCGCTCATAGCACGTGCGCAGTGAAATAGGTTCGCGCAGCTTGGAAGCGGGTTGTCGGGTGAATACTTTCGGTGAAGGCTTTGGTGTGAGCTATTTTTCTAATGTTTTGTTGATATCTCACAGGCTGAGCTTTTATATGTTATGACAGTAAATTAACTGTTTATATAATTTCACCACACGTTCTTCTTACCGAGTCACTTTCTCAGTTCGATACTTAAAAGCAATGTCATTATTTAGCGTTGACAGAATTTCTAACTGTGATATAGATATGTCGTTGTCACAGACAAAACTCAATGTCTTGTTTTATTGACATCTGTGTGTCTGCCTGCCTGTCTGCTAATGACAATATTCAATACACATTGGCTATCACTGACCACATGCAATTTGAACTTAACACCAATCAGGCTATACACCATAAACAAAATGCATTGATTTATGGCCCGAGTTCGGTCTCTGTCACATTATCTAATTACACAGACAGGCAGGTGTGATAGTTGAACACATGACATGTTATGATGTCTGTTGATTGCAAAATGTTATACACAAAAAATGAGCATGTATTTACAAAACCCAACATCTCTATATATACACACACAATGAGCCGTGAAGGCGGCATCTGCTAATGAACCAGCCGTTACACTTGAGTGCACACCCACCCGCTCTGACTGGGTTCGGTATCCCGGCTGCTTCGTTTCGAGGGAGGTAAACCCAAGTACAAAATATTGCACTTTTGATTTGCGTTTATACGCTTATAATTTTGTTTATTTGTTTTTTCATAATCAGCAATGCATATTATATGTCATGAAGAAGTGATAATTGTGTTTTAATTATGTTTGATTTTTTGGTTGCATGTGACCTTTAAGCTGGTTTTATAGTGCTAGCCCACTACCGCAGTGAAGCATGAATACCCCACTCACACACATACTGACTCCGAGCCGACCAGTCCTTGTTGTACCCATTAATGCCGAGCGCCAGGCAGGGACCAACAAGTACCATATTTTAACGTCTTTTGGTATGACGCAGCCGGGGATCAAACCCGCGACCTTCCGCTCTCTGGGAGGATGTTCTAACCACTACACCACGGAGGCGGTCCCGGCAAAGTAGTGTGAACTGATGTCATTAAAGTGTCTTGTCTGGAGATCGTAGAAGGTAGGGCTAAACCAGGTATGTAAACAGGATCATTGAATGTAGTTCGATTGACAATCCAGGGAATACCAGGTGAACTGGAAAATCGGGTAAACGAACTCTGATCTAGGATCGAATGCTGTAGGATCGTAGACAAAACAAAAAAGTGATCATCAACAGACGTCAAATTCCAACTGTAAAATGATTGAAAACGACAGGAAAGACAAAGGGATTGTAGAGACATAAGGGTATTAGGGACGGGGTCAGAGGAGGTTGAGGGAATTATAGGTAGCAGAGAGGTCGACAATGTTGGGACCTGGGTCAGTGGAGGATCTGTGATCTCAGGCTGCTAAGCAGTGAAAGACAAATGGTCTTTGGTCAAAGATACAGCAGAGAAGCTGATTGACAATCAAAAGGGAATAGGGATCCTGAGGCCAAGGGTAATGAAGGGAAGGATGACCTGAGAGCTGATCCAAGAGAAAACATCTTACATCTAAGGGAATGACAGGTAGAGATTAACAGAGCGAGGGCAAAAATACAACAAACAACATTAAATATCATATAACTAATTTGGACATTCTATATTGTTTTACAAGTTTTCATTTGACAGTTTGGGTGTGATCTTGTTCTGGAACTATTGAGTTGGCACTTGTGGATAAATTTCATATTCACAACTCCCAAGTGAAACACCAAATCAGACATTTTGTATAATAAGTCATAACTATATTCTGTCTACAGGAACTACATACCCATGGCCCTTTTGATGTCAAACTGTCAAATTCTTTCTCAATCAAGAGATGAGCTCTTGAGTACATTGTGCCTGGACATCTGAAATAGTTGATGAAAACAAAATGTGAAAAGCTGGTAATCTTGTTATGGAGTTATTGTGAGACATTTCAATAGCTTACATCCTGACAAGGCATTATCTCAGTCAGTCCCTCCAAACTGACAGAAGTTTATTATGAAAAATAAAGTCTCCTGGTCCACTCTTGATTACAGGCCAGCTTGATATAGCTCGGATACTGCAGACAGTGTTTAAAGGTCACATAAACCCTAGGGGGTACAAATACATAAATCACTAACTGGCATCGTTATAAATGAAACCCCGTCATTAAAACTACTCATTTCGACCTTTAATTGACTTAAATCGACCTTTTTGACAACAGTGCACAATTCTCACCCGCGAACGAAATTTCAACCAATCAGAGCGGCGCGCCTCTGTGACGTCATATGAGGAATACCTTTGAGAGCAGATGCAGAATTCATCTACATTTTAGGGGGTAAATTATCTTGTTTACAGGCTTGTATAAACCTGAAATCGTGACAATTGTTGTGGAAAATGAAAGCTATATGTTCTCACAATCTACTGTCATTTAATTTTGTCTCCTGCTTTGCCTAGTTTCCGAGTTACAACTTGTTTTCATAGACGATTCTGTCAAAATTGATTGGTGTCGTTAGGCTCTATTTGTATAATGACTGATCCAAATTGATCCCATTTCTGTGTTGTTTTACCTCGATATTTAATCATGTCATGTAAAAATCTGTTTGTATTCTCAAAACAGTGTCGGCCCATAAGTTTTCACATGCAATACAGCAATTAATACTCCCTCGTTGTAACCCGTGTTAGGTGGTATAAACCTACACATTTTACTTGTCATCATTCACTTGATGGTCAGTTAATGAATTTATAACAGGTATAATTAGTGGTAACACACTTAGATTACCCGACAAAGGTTCCCATTTGGCATTTCTTGTGTCTGGAGTAAATATTCAACATTATAAACATCGATCAAAGGATTAACCGATAACACGCTGATTGATTAATTACTTTTATCTTACACAGCGGAATTGTCAAAGGTAGTGTTTATGTATGTAGATTTACTAATCTATACTGAATACACTCTGTCGGTGTCGGTGTCTGCGTAAAAACAACGCCCTTCTTTCAAAGGATTAACCGGCAATACATTGATTGATTGCCCATTATTGGCTAACTAAATTACTGTTTTTAAAGAAAGGCGGACATTATGCAATTAGTTGCCAGGTGTGCTATCTTGGGTGACCAATGAGACTATACACCAATACCTGAAAAGATTTATCACTTTTTCGTATATTAAACTGTTAAAAGACACATCATTTGGAACAGTTTTGTGGATATTGATGGATACATTCCTCGAACAAGGTAATGGCCTGATATTGTTCCTATAACTTTAATCTGTTTTAATTTTAATATTTGCATTTTGTTTTATTCATTTGTCGTAGCATTCAACAGAATCATTGTTTTAGCCGTGAAGTGTAATGAGACAGACAACATGCACTAGGTGTGTGTGCGAATTATGATTCACATTGGCAAACTATAAAATGTCTAGATATTACAGTTCTGTTATAAATTCACTATAAGTATCAGCAGATCGTCTGCTTTTTATTTAGTTTCAAAATGCATACAAGTGTGATAATAAACTAATTAGGATTATAAGACCAAATATAAAGGCATTACATTGACTAGTATCTACATACTGGTGAGTGGACATTAACCATGGGAATGTAGCAAGAAATTTATCAGCGCAGTATTGTGACTTCGACCCCCACCACCGGCTTCCGTGGAAGAAATCGTTATGTTATAAGTTGTGTCATGCAAAATCCGTTTGGTTATGATTCCAATACATATTTAACAACGAGTAGAAAGTAGTCTTGATTTTCTAACTTGATGAAAACAAACTATAATCTCATTAATTCTAACAGATTTTTTATTTTTAAAATGAAGCCCTGTCGGGGAACATCCGCCAGTCTGAGGATAAATGGTATTTAGGTTTGTTTTCACCGAGTTCTAAAATCAAAACTACTTTCTACTGGTAATAAAATATGTATTTTATTGATGGCCAATAGGATTTTGCATGACATAGCGTATATCATAACAATTTCTCTGGCAGCTTAGGTGGGTGTCAATATAATACTACTTACAATATTATTGTTATTTTGACCACAACCTCACTTCCGAGGAAGAAATCGTTATGTTACAAGTTGTGTCATAGAAAATCTTTATGGTCATCAATCATATACATATTTTACTACAACTAGTAAGTAGTTTTGATTCTTTAACTTCCATGAAGCAATCTGAACACAAGTAAGATATCGTTTCAGGCTTCCACAACGCCTTTAAACCGACTCACAAACATTACCCATTTAGCACGAACTGCAGGGTCCTGTGGAAATCTGTGCATGGGGACACCATCGCCCGACCCTAGGAGCAATTGGCGACAAAGCAACGATTCGGCATGTAAATTCGTTGATGTCGAGAAATCATCAAAATGATGAGCGTGCTACACATTTTCTATACAACTAACTGAAAATCGTTCCTCATATGACGTCACTGCAGTGCTCTGGCGACAGAGTTATGTAACCTGTCTGTGGTTTCGTTGGCGGGCGAGAGGGAAGCAGGCGACTTTTTGGCCACTTTTAATCGCTCGGTATTAATTAACCACAAGTTTTTAAAGAATAAATTTGGTGTTCCGCATAAGACTAACCACAAATCTTTCATATGTAATGGTTAAAAGAGTAACAAAAAACAAAGTTTAGTGGTTCTTTAACAACAATCACAGCCTTACATCTTCTGTGGTAAACAGTTTTGCTTTCAATTCTAGTGGGATCAAAAAGGTTGACGCATATGCATGGCAGGCTCAAAGTCAAAGGAGTTGTTCTAAAACAACTGTGTTAATTAAACAAGTTAAATGTTATATAACCTCTTGTAAGTATTTTTGGTGAAAGGAATCCAATTTTCTTGACACATCATGCTATTTTCAGCTTTGTAGGATCATCTGTCAACAGCTGCCTGGTTTTACTTACTTTCATGTTATTAACAATCAAACCATCTGACACATAAATGAAACAATTTCCCTAAATATTATCATACGTTTTCGGATGGCAGTGCTTACTGGGGCTGTAACATCGTGGGGTGTTTGCATCACACAGACATTGTGAATTCTTAAATACTGGCTTGTGTTTAGGATCATGTTAAATTGTTATCTTCTATAAGCAAGTGACATGGTTTACAAATGTTTCTGCGGTAACCAAGACAACAGATGTTCTTTAGTGTCTGAAAAACTATAACACGACTATATATATCAGACATTTGCATCACATCAAATTTGGTTGCCATATTTCAAGAGAAGGTATTCATGCAGCAAAATATAATCTCATCTAGGGGTTGCCAAACTGGTAAAAAAATGAGACTGAACGATATGTACGTCAATATTTGTGTGTGTACAGGCGAAACTGGACACTGTTTGGCCTCCCAATGAGTTTTAACTATATAAATACGTAAAGAAACAGAGTTAAATTTCCTGATGATTCTAAGGAAATGATGAAGATCAATATTTTTTCAAGAGTAACGATGTATTTCTTTACAGGGCGATTATTATTACCACCTGTCGTTTGCAACTTCGGGAAATTAATATGAATAGGAGATATCGTAATGAGCTACTTCGCGGTTGTTATTCATTCTAAATACTATCTCACCAAAAATGTGTCGACGCCTATGGGGATCCGAACTCATCAGAAATACACGAAGTTTTCCTTGTCGTTACTTTCCTATCAGTCGTATTGTTTAACTTCACGACGGGCATCTACGCATGCGTGATGGTATCTTCCTTTCAGCTCAAGCTGGGCTCCGACTTCAGCTAACGAAACAACGCAACGTTAATACACCATGGAACCAGTCAAGTTAACAAGCACCTGCCAAAATTGTCGTCTGCTTGCAGCAACTAACGCTAAGTTTATGTGATTGTCAATGCGTGATCTATCTGGCGTATTTGGAATACAGATATGTATACAATACACATGGGAAACGCTTAAACGATATATTTTATTTAGTTGTTGCCAGGAATGCTTGTAGATAAGTGAGTAGATGCTCAACGACGTGTAAATATTCCAGAATATACATTTAATAATAATAATTAAATGCAAATTGGACATTCAAAGACTTGATTCCAGAATGGCCAATTTGAAATATTAGCCATTTTAGTGTGACTGTGTCTGACTTATACAACGTGGCAATTTATCCGACATACGTGACGGTGTTGCATTATCGTCAGTCATAGTGTATGGACCTTCCATATGATAAGTGATTAACCTAGTACAAGTCGGAAAATATCTTAGAACCCGAGTAACTAAAAAATAGGTACACTCGCGTAACCTTGATTCGTGGATATAAGGGAAGTGCGGCGAAATAAGGTTACGGTTCTGTACTGAAAATAAACACTTCACAAAGGAGTGAGTGAGTTTAGTTTTACGCCGCAGCTATATGGCGGCGGTCTGTAAATAATCGAGTCTGTACCAGACAGTACAGTGACCAAAAGCATGAGTATCGATCTGCGCAATTGGGAACCGTTGACCTGTGTCAGCCAAGTCAGCGAGCCTGACCATCCGATCCCGTTAGTCGCCTCTTACGACAAGCATGGGTTACTGAAGATCAATATTCTAACCCGGACCTTCACTGGTAACTTCACAAAGGAAATGTAATTCATGACCCAGTGTTGGATATGTCAGTAGGTTAATGTGAACCGATCAGTAGCCCAGTCTAGTAGTCCTTGATAGACGAACAATCATATTAATGTTAAGATACAGGAATTCCTTCCTGTTCAGTAGCTATATATCAATGTATATCAAAAAGGTCGGTGCCCATGTAGCCACCTTTCAATTAACAGATAAAATTAAGTACATACATACATACCATACATACATACTACCATACATACATACATACATACATACATACATACATACATACATGTATGTATATCATACACCAAGGCATTGTCTCTGTGTATGACGGAAATGTTAGAGTAAATTTCATACGAACATCAAGTTTGGTTAAATTACCACTTTGTGATGCTCAGAGAGATTCTTAACCCAATTTGTATTTAATTATTATATACATACATACATACATACATATATATATATATATGATATAACTTATGGCATTTGCACGACTATCAACTACTGCTTCTTTGAGAGGCATTTTAGAAGTTGTATAGATGAAGGAAAACCAAGTTCTATGGATATTCAACTTCTTTATTGCAATGAGTGCGACGTTTCGGTGAATAGGTACTTACACCGTATAGGTACCTACACCAAAACGTCACACTCATTGCAACAAAGAAGTTGAATATCCATAGAACCTGGTTTTCCTTTATCAACTACTGTATCATTTGTAACGACGGTTCAGGTTAGCTCCTTCATCTGGTGAATACCGAGTAATAATGTCATACTGACATGTTAAACAATAACAGCGTAACACAGAAGCCAACGAATCGTATAGTGTTCTAACCTGGTCATCTGGCTCATCAGTCATATGCCTCCATTTGACATATGACTCGTCACGCCGAAGGTTTCGATTCCCCACATGGGTACAATGTGTGAAGCCCATTTCTGGTGTCAGCCGCCGTGATATTGCTGGAATTTTGCTAAATGCGGCGTAAAACCATACTCACTCACTCATTATTACTAAGTTCTTCTAAGGTTGTCCGTCTCTTGCTGCACTGTTGTTAGATATCTGGTAAAACCACTGATTATTATAATTATTGTTTATGTACTTGTATTCCCCATACATCGCAATAACATTTCTCAACCGTATCGTCGTAATAGAATTATGAAACCTTAATGTCGACAGCATTATTATTTTGGTTACATAAAACCAAATTATGACTACTTTAAACTGTTGTGGGTGATTGTCGTAATCTTCAAATACTAGTAGACACAATGTTGGACATCATTTGGCAAGCGATCGCCGTAAACAATCAAAGTTATAACGGTATACGTTAGATTTTAGTAATATTTACAATGTTTACAACCATTGCAAGTAGATTTTCACAACGCTTACAATGAAACATCCAATGTCTGCTTGTATAAAACTCACTTGAATATAGAGATGTGTCATACAGGTTTCTTCTGAAGATAGTTATTACAACGCGACGTTACTGTGTAGATGCAAGTGCTTCATCAAGCAAGTGATCTGTGACTAGTGTACTTGTACAAGGCGATCTTACGGAATGCAGAGACAATTAGTACATTAAACAAAAAAACCCACACAATTAGTATCTGTCTTGTACTGACCCGTCTCATTGTAACTAAGTTGAATTCCTTACATTAATCCTGTCTGCATACGTACATGAGACTTCTAAATGTTACTCAAAGAAACATTTCTTTAGCGCATGCCAGACATGCACCCACGGCACACAGCGGGATATTTTACAGACGTTTCTCTGCTGCCTCACTTCTCGCGTCCTCAACCAATCTTCTTGAAGCAGGAAATTTGTCAAATGAACCGCACCAAAACGAAATCTCTCTGCTCGTTTTTTAACATTACTGTTTTAAAGAGGTGATACAAACATCGCTAGTTTCCCTTAATCCCGCATGACCACTGTGATCATGTTTATTCTGCATGTCGTGAATTATTCTTCATGTAGTCAATATCAGCCATCACAGTAATCGAAGTCGTGATGTACAACGTGATATTCAGAATCACTACTTAATTTGAAAATTATTTCGGAAGATAATGATAAATATACAGTGTGATCATTTGAAAGCAGTCAGCTAACTACAGTTTGCACGAACTTGTCATATTCTTATACTTTAAGTCCTAAATGAACAGTAGACGTTATTTGAGGTGCACGAGGTTCAGGGCAAATCGCTATTTGTAAGCACACAACCGCCACGTGCAAAACGCGCACCGTGCTAAAACGCCATCGCTTTGATATGCAAATGAGCACAAGAAAAGGGCCAGCCTCGAGTATGACACTAGTTACAAAGTAGCAGTTGATTACAGTAGATTGACAGTGTTCAGATCGCAGAAAAGATGAAAACGGACTACCAACCGTTTCTTTCTGCTACTGTATCACAATGTTCGCGAGTGACCAGAAAGGACACGGGATCACCATGCAAGTCCTTAATGGAGACCGATTCTGTGAAAAGAGCAGCGGAGTGTTCTGTTAAACCTAAACATATTGATTCTGGACAAGATACTCAATACAAAAACCGGTAGGTGGGCATTACTCGACGAATAGACAGTTGTATATGTTTCTCCCATGGGGACCGGCGGATCCCCATCCAACACGTAATTGCTTGAAATTTAAAAATTAAGTTTGATCGGGTGGTCAGGCTCGGTGACATGTTTTTCTTATTGCGCATGTAATCATGTATTTGGGGCATTCTGATGAACCAAAAGAACCATGATAATGACATAGTATACTAATTTCATAGATGTGGACATTGACTCCATAACAGCTTGCTGTTTTGCACACCGATGTATTGGCACTCTCTTTTGTTCTTAGGTTGCTGTGCACGCGACCGGTAATTTAAATCAGGCTCCCAGCTTTTGTAAGAGGCGATCTGGTGATCAGCCTTTGTGAGTGATGTAATCTATCGGTAGATGGTTCCTTTTCGTACCCTGATGGACGTTAATAGTTACTCTGGCCCCGACTCAAGTATGTGCAGGTTGACGGGATATAACTGCAATATTATTGACTTCGGCTTAAATTTGTTTTAAAATAGCATGGTTCTACTCAAAACACGAACTTTACACGCCGTCGTGACTAACTTACTAATTTGAAGGTATCATGTTAGAAACAGCTACACACTGGTAACGGAACCACTCATTTGAATAAGTCTTCATAATACTAAGTCATTCTATACATTCGCACTTTTATTTGAACACTTTTCTGTTTAAGGTTAACGTTTTCTTGGATTTCTATGGCTCAAAAATCAGATTGTATTCATGCATGACAAAATATAACAATTATACAGCTGCTGTACTGTTTGGTAAGAGATAGATGTGATTGAATGAAAACAATAACACTTAATTTCTGTCACAGCTCGACTGTTGTGGTATATGATGTAAGGTGTATTATATATGTGGACATATGTTTAGGTCTCCGAACCCGGGGAAGGCAGGGGAGAGACAAGTGCTCACACATACGCCACGAGGAAATAGTAAAGACGTCAACAGCGGTGGCGTGGAATCGAGGGGCACGCGGTCTGTAACACCCCGATCCAGGAGAAAAGCTCGCAAGCCAAAGAAGCCCCAGAAGAGTGCGGCATGCTGGGACCCCAACTTCCGTGGCGTGACGATGTGGTTCACTACTCTGGTGGAAGGGGACAGGGCACAACTCAGGATATCGTCCTTCTTCAGGTAGACCACATCAGGCACACTCATCTGAAAATAAACACTTTTAGGGTCTTTTAATCAAAACCCTTCGCAGGTATTTCCCATAACTTAATTTGGAAAGCTGTGTGTACGTCATGTTTCTTGTCTTCACCCACAACGTATTCGTCTAAACTGTGTATAATGGCCGAAAATATTTACAGTCTTTGGCCTAATACCGCCTCCGTGGTGTAGTGGTTAGAGCGTCCGCCCGGAGTGCGGAAGGTCGCTAGTTCGATCCCCGACCGCGTGATACCAAAAGACGTTAAAATATGGTACTTGTTGGTCCCTGCCTGGCGCTCGGCATTAATGGGTTCAACAAGGACTGGTCGGCTCGGAGTCAGTATACTGTGTGTGAGTGGGGTATTCATGCTTCACTGCGGCATGGTATCTCAGTGAGCTAGCACTATAAAACCAGCTTAAGTCTGGGCTAGTACAAGCAGCCGCTCATACACATACACACGCATGCACGTCGTCATATGAGCGAACTATTCTCAAGCACGACGTTAAACCCATTTTCACCTCACCACCTTTGGCCTAACGGTCTGTCGGTCCATCTCCTTGTCTCCAGAACCTCTGCGTGAAGTTTGGTCAAAACCGATGTGAAGTTGTCTTAGACAGCTGCCACCCTGACGGTTACGGTCATTTGAACAGTGTGACCAATGTACACTGAACTACTGGACAACTACGTACATTCAAATAAGCCCTGCACACATTATATGGAATGGATTGGACTTCAGATAGCTCGGCACTACATAACTACCTATTCTTCATTACACACTTTTTATTTTGATGGTACTATCACAGTTTAGTCACGACGTGGCTGAAATATTGCCAAAGTGACTTTAAATTTTAACTCACTCACACACAGTTATAGTTGTTCACCAGCATGCTTCCTCTCGCAATGAGTCATAGTACCATGTGTACAAAATTGCAGATAACTCAAATGATTATGAAGCAGCATGTATGTACACTCAGTTGTTTTGTCAGAGCTATAGCACTTTGTTTTACTCATGTCCTGTATTTGGTATGTGCTTCTTCAAAACAATCAGTGGTGTCACTACACGAGAAAGGCACATACTATCTTAAAGAAGTATTGCTCTTTCTGTTTAAAATTCACTCTGCATTTTGCATATATTTTCTGGAACCGGAAGTGCTTCAACTTAACTTATGGTAGCCAAAGAGGCAGCTTTCTGTTTCAAAGCTCTCTTGATTTTGACATTTAATTTCCCAAACAGCAAGCAAGTGGTTTCAGAATGCCTAGACTCTATACTAAGTTATATTGCATTTGCTCCATTAGGATTCAAGGTTGTTGAGGGTTTCCCTTTCACGGTGGTTTCCCTTTCACAGCTTTGGTAAGCTGTGTTCTGATTGGTCAGTCCAAAAGGTTAGCTGACGCGACCTTCTACTAGGCTTTGTTACACTCAGTATAGCAGTGTAACGAATAATACTGAGCCTAAGTTTACTTAGACTGAAATCTCCCCCCTCAACAATCGGTACCCTCTGACATCAGCCTCTCTTACTATGGAAGGGTTAACCACAAAATCCAGAGACGTTGCTCTCACCGATATTCCAGCTATACGGCGGCGGTCTGTAAATATACTGGTCTGGACCAAACATTCCAGTGATCAACAGCATGAGCATCGAACTACGCCATTGGTATATTATAATATGTGTCAACACCATCCAAAACACCATTAAAGCCTCAGACAACCACCATCCACCCATAAACAAGCACTTCAAGGAACAATGTTCCGCGTTCTTGTAGACATGCTTACATTGGTGAAACATCCAGAAATAAAACCCGAATTAATAAACATTACAGCCCAGTGTCTAAAATGAGACTCGAAATCTGAAAAATACCATATCCGTGTTAACCTTGACCCACAGCATCCAGTTGGATGGAGGTAAGCTTCATTCTTGTGAACTAAGAGTAAAGTACTCCATCCGTGCTATCTGTGAAACGGTACGCTCTTGCCACGGTACGGTACGTATTGCGGTACAGGGCATTATGTTCGGTCTGTTTCGGTTCGGTATATGAGATATGATCATAATGCAGAAACGTGACAAGAGCCAAACCTTTTAGTGTTTAATAACATGGAAAAAATTATTTAACAAAATTGTCATTTTATGACTAGATAGAAGAACTAAAGTATCACTGCAACCTTGAAGCTCACAGCTGTGTGGCAAAATAGCAAGTAGCCAAGTATGACTAAAAGTCACTAGCATCACATCAACATTTACTGTAGTGAAATCACCACTATTACCCAGAATGTTCATGTTTATAAAAAAAACAATACACACAATAGATCTTGTTGAATGTGACTCTGTTGATGGCATATCGCAGATGAATAAATTGAATAAATTAAATTAACACAACACAGTATTCATAAGACCGCTACTGTCTGTGTCATTGATCTAAATCATTGTCTATCTCTAGTTATGAGACACGGCGTTATACATAACAAGGAATAAAGGCCAAGTAAAATCGTTGACATGACAGAACTGCCATTTCGTGTATTGTGCCCAGTCAAAACAATATCGTATCATCGGAGGTGAAAAAAACAAAAAAACTTTGTAAATGAAAACAGGTATGTGTATAGGAAACTTGCAATCAAACATCACTAGTCATAATAATTCAATTGTCGTTCCTGTTATGCTACCTGTTATTCAACTTAGCCGGAAATGGCAATCAGCTGTCTACACGTTTTGCTCCAATCTACCGGTGATTCCGAAAATATAATATCAAAGAATTTCTATTCCTTTATCAGAAGACCGCCTCCGTGGTGTAGTGGTTAGAGCGTCCGCCCGGAGAGCGGAAGGTCGCGGGTTTGATCCCCGACCGCGTGATACCAAAAGACGTTAAAATATGGTACTTGTTGGTCCCTGCCTGGCGCTCGGCATTAATGGGTACAACAAGGACTGGTCGGCTCGGAGTCAGTATAATGTGTGCGAGTGGGGTATTCATGCTTCACTGCGGCATGGTATCTCAGTGGGCTAGCACTATAAAACCAGCTTAAGTCTGGGCTCGTACAAGCAGCCGCACATACACATACACACGCATGCACGTCGTCATATGAGCGAAATATTATCAAGCACGACGTTAAACTCAATTTCACCTCACCTCATCTCCTTTATCAGAATTAAAACAAATATAATATATATTGCTATCGTATTAGTATATAGAGAATCTCACCCGAGTGTCTTTTGATATCAAATATATCACCACGAGTTGATAAAGTAACAAATATCCGAGGCTTGCCGAGGATATTTTTACTTTCATCAACGAGTGTTGATATATTTGATAACAGAAGACATGAGGGTGAGATTCTATTTATCATCCAAAATCACTCTTCATTAGTTTTCAATGAAAAATGTACATCTCTGAACACAGTACTGCCATTAGATTTGCAGTGCAGTGATGGCATAGCATTGTGACGTCATCAAGTTCATGACGCTATCGTATTAGTGTCTCATGGTACTAGGAGATATCGTGTGATCTCACACAAGCGATATCTCCTGTGGAACACAGTTTTGGATGATAAAAAGCCTGTTTTCCACGTACATATTTAACATAATAATTAACATAGGCTTCAGCACTTTGGTTTACGTGGCTGGATCCATTTTACGTATGAGACAGTTTGACCAGTCACCGGTGACTGCCCCCGGTACGTGCCACTTTGATTGTGAAAACAAAACGTTGGCCATTAATGGTGAAATATGACTTCAGTGAGTCCATAACGCGGGTCTAGGGGTAGATGGATGACGAGGCGGTAATAAGTTTGCTGAGAATGATTTATGTGAAATTGGTGCTATCGCGGTAGGCACGACCCTCACGAACATGGTAAGCGGAAGTGGTATTCGTAGGCTATAGAATAAGGTGATGCCATTTCACACGCGTTTTCTCCAATGTTAGTGTAAACAGCTTTAACGAATGAAAATGGGATTAATTTAATCAAATAAAATGAAATCGAGGAAGATCGTTTTATTATGTGTTGACTTCATACGTTTTTGGATGGCTGTGTTGCATCACAGCAAACATGTAAGTACTAGGCTGATGGCGTGTCTTTATGATAAAGTTGTATTTTATAAGTTAGTACGATGTTCCTCCGTTCTTCTGATTGAAATAACGGAAACGGAAACGGAACCCAGCTACTGATCTGGTATCTGCAGCTGTTGTTGGTTGAAGTTGCCAACTTACTTCCGGGAAAATAGCGGCCGTCTAGCAAAGAAATGCATAGGTTTTGACGAAATGATTCGATTTCTAGACATTTTTAAAAAGGTTTAAAAAGGTTACTAAAATGACGATACGAAAACCGATAATATCGAATTTCTCGATTGCATTATGGTATACCGAACCCTATAGGCAAAATACCCCGGTATATGCCGTCCTAAAGTACTGTCGGAAATAGAAAAAATCTATTTTCTCATTTATCTCTACAATTTATGTAGTTGATGTGCAAGTGTGAAATATCTGTTAAACTAACTTCAGCCTAACTACAGTCTCAGTGGTAGGGACATAGGAAACGTAGAAAAAGGACTTTACTGAGGAGAGATTAGTGCAGAAATGAGCATTGCGGGTTTTTTCTAAGTCCAAAACGATTTATTTGGAACAGACCATGGCTTTATGCAAATTAGTGTGCGACAATATTGTATTATAAAGGACACTTTTTAAATGCCCAATTTCAAATTAGACGTAGCTTCATTATAAACGATAGCTGGCGTAAAAAATAATAACTTTCATGCTGAAACTATAAAGGATGTCGCTACCATGCAGTCTCACTGTCACTATAAAAAGAAACAGATAGGAGGGGTTGTCTCAAAAGCAGAACCTGGACGGGTGTCGCAGACGATCGTTGGGGTCGGGCTGGGGGATAGAGATATCAGCAATTACACTGGGGAAGTACACGGCATGTCATAACAATCTACAGTCCTGTCGATCTTCGCGATTGGGTGGTCATGCCACCTATATATTTTGAGACATTTAATACGAGGCGTTTCGATGGCTATCAGGTATCATACTCTTTTACATATCTGAACATAAACTTTATGAAAGAAAGACACGTAAGATGTTAATTAATAGATGAGACAGTCAACAGACATGAAAAAGCACAAAGTGTCTTTGAAATGCCCCCTTGTGCCTGTAGGCAGCACATGCATTTCATGCCAGGTGAGTCCGACGGTCCGTCGTCATACCTAGCTGAGCGACCAACTTGCCATCTATAGTCTGATCTATTGTTTTCAGCAGCTATTCGTTTTGCCCGATTTTACGAGTAAACATGCTTTTCTGGATATCCTATTACGCACCCACTGAATGCCAAGTTAGGCCGAAGTGGGTTATTTCAACATATGCTATTTGCAGTTGTGTAAATTTTAGAGATACAGAGTAACAGCCTAAAAACAGTTTTTGTTCTATTTCCGACAGTACTTTTAGTACGCATCGCCCCTAATCCATGCAAGGATTTACAGATTTAAGAACGTTCAAGCTGACATCTTTAAAATCACATTCGAATGATTGCACAAATGCTTAATGATGCCTGACACACAATCGCCACAGGTTCAGCGGCAACTTTGGAAATATATCTCCTCCCTCCCTTCTCTTTCTCCTCCTCTTCCTTTTTCTTCTTCTATTCGTCACCCCCTCCTCCCAATCCACCCCGCAATGGTTGTCCAATGGCCGTCATTGTAGATTTGGAACTCACAAAATATGATATTTGGCGTTGACTTCACTTTTTGTGTGTCAATGGTTCGGACGCTCGTGAAGTTCGAGCATCACTTTGTAAAGGTTTATACTCCTTCAAGTTCGTAACTGAGATCCACATGATCCAAGTAGGTTCTTAAGGGATCTTTCATACATTCCTCGAACAGAAAAGGTTATATTGATTGCATAGACGTAATCTCTAAAACAATATTGAAGCATGAATATGTCATTTGATGCATGCTGATCATGGTGACTGTGAATGAAATCATCAACACGGAGCAGTGTGAAAGTCCATTACCTAAACGTTTCAACAAAGACAGGTCACACTGCAATTTCCTACTCGTGAGACCGGAAAAGATGGTGGTGGAAAAGATGGTGGTGTGTGTGATTTCTGTTGAATTGCGGACTCACGCCACGTGCCAGAAGCACAAGCACAATCACCGTGTACAACAGGGGAGGTTCAATATGTGATAGAGCACCATCTCTGGATTGTGGTATCGGCACCAGCATAATGGTACGTCACGTTGACATTATTATCCTGTAACCTGGACCGTCGTTTGTGGCAAAGGAGTACTACATCAGCGAATCCAGGATTGCCAAGTATATTCTGATTATACAGTGAAGAACCGTCTTTATGAGGCAGGTCTATAAGTCGGACCTCAATTACATCACCAACTCCCGTCATTGGCAGAGTGAATATGGAATATTGGTGGTGCCAGCCTAATGACATAGGCGGTATTGTTCGAATTATACACCGTTTTCCTATGAACATTATACTCAATTGTAAGAATGTAAGACAGTTCAAATGCCAATTTAATAAGCTGGGGGAAATGTTTTTGTTCACAGTGGATATTCGTTTAATTTAATTTCTCTTTTTTCATCCTTATAGAGCAAAGCGAAACAAAATGAACTTTCCTTTACAGCAAGACGACGGGTAAGAAAAAATCATTCATGGGAACCAAATGTCGGCGGAAGCGCAGCGACTCTGTATCTGAATGCAAGAGCAGCTCCGACAATGAGGACTTCCGTGAGACATTCCCCACGATGAACTTCGGAGGTGGAGGACCAAGACCACAGGAAAAGACCACAGGAGTGAGACCACATGACCACAGACCAGGATGTGACCACAGATCACTGAAACACAGATCACATAACATGTGGAGGAAAAAAGACCAAAAAAGGACACAGACACAATCACACAACAGACACCACACATAATCACAACACATGGAAGGACAAATAACACACAGGAAAATAGGAACCACCATGAGGAAAAATGAGACACAGGACCAGAGGTGGACCGACCACAGGAACACAGGACCACAGGACCATGGAATCCACAAGACCAAAAATGGCACTGACCAAAGACACTGGACCAACATGTGGACCACACATGTGGAAACAAAGGACCACAGGAACGACCACAGGACCATGGAGGACACAAAAAGAGACCACATGAAAGAGGAAAGACCACAAGACCATGAGACCATGGAGGACAAAGAACATGACCATGGACACAGACCATGGACCATGTGACCGACCAGAGGAACCACCATGAAGGTAGTATCATGTGGGTGCTATATAGGGCGTGTAGCTATCATGTGTGTGCTATATAGGGTGTGTAGTATCATGTGGGTGCTATATAGAGTGTGTAGTATCATGTGGGTGCTATATAGGGCGTGTAGTATATATGCTGTATAGTGTGTAGTATCATGTGGGTGCTATATAGGGTGTGTACTATCATGTGTGTGCTATATAGGTTGTGTAGTATCATGTGGGTGCTATATAGAGTGTGTAGTATCATGTGGGTGCTATATAGGGGTGTAGTATATCATGCTGTATAGTGTGTAGTATATGTGGGTGCTGTATAGTAGGGTGCTATATAGATGCTGTATAGTGTGTAGTATCATGTGGGTGCTATATAGGGTGTGTAGTATCATGTGGGTGCTATATAGAGTGTAGTATCATGTGGGTGCTATATAGGGCGTGTAGTATCATGTGGGTGCTATATAGGGTGTGTAGTATAGATGCTGTATAGTGTGTAGTATCATGAGGGTGCTATATAGGGTGTGTAGTATAGATGCTGTATACTGTGTAGTATCATGTGGGTGCTATATAGAGTGTAGTATCATGTGGGTGCTATATAGGGCGTGTACTATCATGTTGGTGCTATATAGGGTGTGTACTATCATGTGGGTGCTATGTGGGGCGTGTAATATCATGTGGGTGCTATATAAGGGTGTGTACTATCATGTGTGTGCTATATAGGGTGTGTAGTATCATGTGGTTGCTATATAGGTTGTGTACTATCATGTGTGTGCTATATAGGGTGTGTACTATCATGAGGGTGCTATATAGGGTGTGTACTATCATGTGGGTGCTATATAGAGTGTATAGTATCATGTGGGTGCTATATAGGGTGTGTAGTATAGATGCTGTATAGGGTGTAGTATCATGTGGGTGCTATGTGGGGCGTGTAGTATCATGTGTGTGCTATATAGGGTGTGTAGTATCATGTGGTTGCTATATAGGGTGTGTACTATCATGTGGGTGCTATATGTGTACTATATGCTATATAGGGGGCTATATTGTGTAGTATCATGTGGGTGCTATATAGGGTGTGTACTATCATGTGGTGCTATATAGGGTGTGTAGTATCATGTGGGTGCTATATAGGTGCGTGTACTATGCTATATATAGTATCATGTGGGTGCTATATATAGTAGTATCATGTGGTATACATAGGGTGTGCTGTATCATGTGTGTGCTAGTATCATGTGGGTGCTATATAGGGTGTAGTAGTATAGATGGTTGCTATATAGGGTGTGTAGTATCATGTGGGTGCTATATAGAGGTGTGTAGTATCATGTGGGTGTAGGGTGTATGTAGTATAGATGCTATATATGCTGTATGTGTAGTATCATGTGGGTGCTATATTGGGTGTGTAGTATCATGTGGGTGCTATATGTGGTGTGTCAGTATCATGTGGGTGCTATATAGGGTGTGTAGTATCATGTGGTTATTATATAGGTGTGTAGTATCATGTGGGTGCTATATAGGGTGTGTAGTAGGTGCTGTATAGGGTGTGCTATATAGGGTGTGTAGTATCATGTGTGCTATGTAGGGTGTGTAGTATCATGTGGGTGCTATATAGGGGTGTGTACTATCATGTGGGTGCTATATAGGGTGTGTAGTATCATGTGGGTGCTATATAGGGTGTGTAGTATCATGTGGGTGCTATATAGGGTGTGTAGTATCATGTGGGTGCTATATAGGGTGTGTAGTATCATGTGGGTGCTATATAGGGTGTGTAGTATCATGTGTGTATCATGTGGGTGCTATATAGGGTGTGTAGTATCATGTGGTGATAGGGTGTTATATATAGGGTGTGTAGTATCATGTGGGTGCTATATAGGGTGTGTAGTATCATGTGGGTGCTATATAGGGTGTGTAGTATGTGGGTATCATAGGGTGTGTAGTATCATGTGGAGTGTGTTATATGTGTGTATCATGTGTGTGCCATATAGGGTGTGTAGTATCATGTGGTTGCTATATAGGGCATGTAGTATCATGTGGGTGCTATATAGGGTGTGTAGTATCATGTGGGTGCTATATAGACTGTGTAGTATAGATGCTGTATAGTGTGAAGTATCATGTGGGTGCTATATTGGTTGTGTAGTATCATGTGGGTGCTATATAGGCTGTGTCATGTCATGTGAGTATTATATAGAGCGTGAAGTATCATGTGGGTGCTATATATAGGGTGTGTAGTACCACGTGGGTGCTATATATGGGGCGTGTAGTATCATGTGGGTGCTGTATAGGGTGTGTAGTATTTTGTGGGTGCTGTATAGGGTGTGTAGTATTTTGTGGGTGCTATATAGGGGGTGTAGTATAGATGCTGTATAGAGCATTTACTATCATGTGGGTGCTATAGAGGGTGTGTAATATCATATGAGTACTATATAGGGTGTGTAGTATCATGTGGGTGTTACATGTATATAGGGGGTGTAGTATAAATGACATACTCTTAGAACCAGAGTATTCGATCTCCATGTCAAACTTCAAATAGTGCCTTTACTCCAAAATTATCAATTGTTAAATTTCAAATTAATATGTTGGAATGTCAAGGGTTAAGTATCACTTATCGGACACTTTCATCCATTGGGTGTTATATAGGGTGTGTACTATCATGTGGGTGATATATAGGGTGTGTACTATCATGTGGGTGCTATATAGGGCGTGTACTATCATGTGGGTGCTATATAGAGCGTGTAGTATCATGTGGGTGTTATATAGGGTGTGTAGTATAGATGCTGTATAGCGCGTGTAGTATCATGTGGGTGCTATACAGGGCGTGTAGTATAGATGCTGTATAGTGTGTAGTACATGTGGGTGCTATATATATACGTATGCTGTCATGTTGATGCTGGATAGTGTTAACTGCTATGAGGGGGTATATAGGGCGTGTGTTTTAGCATGAGGAAGATATATAAACATGCACTATCATGTGATCTTGTATAGAGCGTATGCAACTGGAAGGGCGTTATATAAGGGGTGTTGAACTGACTTATATCTTGTGTTGGTGCTATATACAGCATGTACTTTATGGCGAATCCTACTCAAAGCGTGTACTTTACAGCGGGTCCTATGTATTATTGCGTTTTACAGATACAGAAAATATCGAGTGCGCTGTAGCAAGTGTTGGCACATCCCCAAAAAGGACAGCAAGACCTACCCATCATGTTCTGTCTGTGGTGGAATGCTGCGCTTCCACCAGAACAGGAAACTCTGGTAGACTAGCCTGCATTTTACCGGACAGTTTTACCCACCCGGACAAATATATCTACCTTGACGCCCTGCGTGGTTAGTAAGTCTGGACGGGGAGGGTTTTACTGGCATCTTAAGCTTATTATCCACGACCACTTGGGCAGTTCCGGTAGAGGACAGGGTACAGTGACGGTCCCAGGAACACAGCAGAGATAACAGGAAAAGTCATAATAGTCTGGATATTTTAATTATGGCAAACTTTTAGTGAGGCACAACTCGGTCTTCGAAGACCGTAGCTATACATGTGGAATTTGTGATAGAAAGGTTGAAAGCATTAGAATTATTCCGTAAAAGTTTGTCAGATTAACCTGTAAGGGTTTTGTTTATGACCATGGTTTTGAAGCCGATACCTTAAAGTGTTACTGCTATGTGTGTACAGGATGCCCGTGGAGTGTGGTGACGTGCATTTCTCCTCTTCCTTGAGATGGCCCAAGTACTATTTCTATGAATGTCATCGATTATGTTATATGTATTGACTACATATCATTATCCTTAATCTTTATAATCAGTGATATTTCAGATTTTTTGATGTTAGTGATTGACACGATTACAGATGAATTTTGCTATTTATGAAATCACTAAATCTTGATGACACCTTTTGATTCCACTTTGGAGCAAGCAGCTCTATTTTGAGTTATATTTTACCAATGTTTATTTTGTATTGTTTTATTGATATAAACGTTTATTGAATATTCTTGTGGGCTATTGATGTTATTGAATAATACTTATCGTAATATATTTGGGTCAGTGTCTTGTTTAGGATGACACCTTATGGAGAGTCTCGTGATATGAAACAGGACATTTCCAATCCAAATAACTGGTTTGTGTTCATCGTCGATTCATTTGTTTCAAAATTTCTCTATCTCATATCCACCCGAAATAGGTATGTCAAAAGTTTGAAATACTAATACCATTAAATATAACTGGAATTTACGTTGCATTCGAACCCACGGAGTCCATACATGTTCAGAAATGTAGCAGAGGTTACATAAAGGAGACAATAATATACAATCATCAAGACAAATAGTTAAACCGCCATAAAAGGTTCTATATACTGACTATGTTGTCTTGTACATGACAGATGTGTCTGAATCGTTTGGGTTTCGTTAAAATTGGCTTTTCTTAATCAGGACCATGATTGCTAATAATGGGCCAATCAACGTGGGCAAATTATATTTGTGAATGATAAATGTGTTCGAGTTCTTCCACTGTTACATATGATTCATTATGTTGCACATGCCCAAGGTACAGGGAACATATTTCACGTGCTTCATGAGAGGCGAGATCTTCTAACAGTTGTTTTATTGTTTGTTTGTTTTAAACGTATTTTATTCATGAGAAAAGGATTGGGTACAAGTTATACAACTTAGAACACCCTCTCCGTAACACCCTAACAGTTAATCATTGTAGTTCTTGGATATCTTTTTTATATGCAGTCGTATAGTTTTTGGATGATGCCATAGGTAGTCGAATGATTTCAAAAGTAAGAGACCGCCTCCGTAGTGTAGTGGTTAGAGCGTCCGCCCGGAGAGCGGAAGGTCGCGGGTTCGATCCCCGACCGCGTCATACCAAAAGACGTTAAAATATGGTACTTGTTGGTCCCTGCCTGGCGCTCGGCATTAATGGGTACAACAAGGACTGGTCGGCTCGGAGTCAGTATACTGTGTGTGAGTGGGGTATTCATGCTTCACTGCGGCATGGTATCTTAGTGGGCTAGCACTATAAAACCAGCTTAAGTCTTGGCTAGTACAAGCAGCCGCACATACACATACACACGCATGCACGTCGTCATATGAGCGAAATATTCTCAAGCACGACGTAAAACCCAATTTCACCTCACCTCAAAAGTAAGATTTGTGCCATTTGTGAGAGCCTGCTGGTTATTTACGCCCAAGATAGACCCATGTTGTCGCTGGATCAGCGAGGAAACTGAATACAGTTGTCGTGTGATGGAAGATACAAACCCAGCCGAACATTGCCCTCCACCTCTGTAACCTGACTAGTGAGTATGAGCCCTTGAGTCCAGACAGAGGCTACTGCGCAGTTGCATATGGAGTAGGTCATGGTACCGTGCACTGTCTGATGTTCGGATCGAGAGGTCTTAGGCTAGAAAACGTCAGAGAAGTATAATTTGAAATGTATCGTCGGATCATTGGTTTTCGGACGCCACATGCTTTCGAACGGCAGTGTTTACTTGCGTTATATAATGAGTCGGGTTGTCTCGCACATACATGGTAAATGCTCGGATGATTTTTAAAATGAAGTTGTCTTTAATAGGCTTTAGTGACACGTTTTCAATTGCTCATGTTATGGGGACAACAACGGGTGTTCCTGAGCGCCCAACACGATGGCACATATTCTCTTCCCACAGAGGTTACTCAAGTCATATCGTGGGATAGTCATATCAAGTCGTACGTGGGAAGAGATGACTTGAGTGGGAAGACAACGTATGGCACACAGCGGCGTGTCGGATATGACTGCTGTTCCGAGGGTGTTCATTCTGGATACATGTCGTAAGAAGAACACTTGACCACTCCTGGACATGTACTCCTTGTAGAAGATACGGTTTTCTTTATGTTCTGCTGTCAACGGTGTTATTTGAAGCAACCTGGCCTCCGTAATCTGGCCACCGCATTCCCCGTATATGCCGTAAAAGCACGTGCAGTTCATGCGTGTGGCGCGCTCGCGTCTGTATGACTGTATTGGTCGGCTGGTAATCTACTATATATATCACACTCTGTTTTAATTGGTTTGTTAATTTCGAGAACACTGGGAGTGAAGTCACTCATGTAGAAGATCTCCTCCCTTTTCCCGGACTGTCGACAAGTAATTTGGACGGATTTTTTCTTGTTGTCGACAGTCCGGGCATAAACCGCTGATGGGGTGTCCGAAGGCCGACACGAATGGCGTGGTAACCCTTGGTCTACCCGTTCTTGGATGGTCTTGTGTCTGGCCTGTCTGTTGGTAACGGCTCAACAAGTTGCTGAAGGTTGCTTAGCTGCAATTGAAGACTCTTGCAATGTGACGTTGTGAGGCCCCCATTTCTGCCATACCAATGGCTCTGTCACGTTCGGCTTATGAAAGTCTCGGCATTTCTGTGATGTTCTTTTACTGCATGGTTGCACTGTTCCACATCTGTATTTATGCAATAATTGTGCACGGGTATTTTCAGTAAAGTCCATTTATGCTGTTTTTGGAACTTTTCATGCCAGCACGAATTTCACTTAATCACGGACTTATGCCTTGCTACTCGACCACAGAATGTGTTTTGGCGAATGCTTTCTGAAAACATCTGTAATTGCGAAAATGATAATTTTAAGTGATAAAAAGCGATAAGTTTCTTTTGCCCGGTAGTTTAGTATAACACATGCACCAACAACGGTACATGCAAACTCTACGTCCACGTACAAACGCTTTTGTAAACATCGCCAACGGCCTTTCAACCTCCCAAAGGCATCTTCCACAGTCATTCTAGCCCTGCTGAGCCTGTAGTTGAATACATTTCGCTCCTCCGTCAGACTCTCTCTGTTGCTGTGTGGCTTCAGAAGCCATTTCGTCATAGGACAAGGTCCATCTGTGGGGTGTGTGTGTGTTAACATCTCTTCCTGAGAGGTTTAACCTTTTATCAAACTGAGGAAACAGTTTTCCAGACTCGCCTTTTTGAAGATTTCCGAATTTACAAAGATTCTTGCGTCATGGACACGGCCTGGCCAACCGATGTTTATATCACGGAATACATACTGATGATCACACAAGGCTTGAATTACAATTGAGTAAGCGCCTTTTCTGTTCAAGTAATCGCCGTGGGCGTCTTTGGGACATTTGATTGGTATTAGTGTGCCATCTATGAAACAAGCACAGTTTGGAAAATTCCATCGCCTTATAATCTTGGATCACAAGATACAGCTCCTCATCCTTGGGTAAGAAAACGTAGGTCTCCATTAAAGGTCACATGCAACGTAAAACACAACTTTGCAGATTCTGATACCTTTCGGTATGGACTTACCGAAAAAAAGCGTCAAAAATGCAAATTCAACTTATAAAGTTGAAAAATAACGCGATGAAAAAAAACGTTCAAACGTTTCACTAATTTTCCCCAGACTTTTCTGGGGAATACGGGTTTCAACAGCTGGGCTGCGCTCATAGCACGTGCGCAGTGAAATAGGTTCGCGCAACTTGGAAGCGGGCTGTCTGGTGAATACTCGGTGAAGGCTTTGGTGTGAGCTAGTTTCATAATGTTTTGTTGATATCTCACAGGCGCGAGCTTTTTGTATGTTATGACAGTAAATAAACTGTTTATATAATTTCATTTGTCTATTTCACCACACGTTCTTCTTACCGAGTCACTTTCTCAGTTCGATACTTAAAAGCAATGTCATTGTTTAGAGTTGACACGATTTCTAACTGTGATATAGATATGTCGCTGTCACAGACAAAACTCAATGTCTTGTTTTATTGACACCAGTGTGTCTGCCTGCCTGTCTGCTAATGACAATATTCAATACACAACTGCGATCACTGACCACATGCAATTTGAACTTAACACCAATCAGGCTATACACCATAAACAAAACGCATTGATTTATGGCCCGAGTTCGGTCTCTGTCACATTATGTAATTACACAGACAGGCAGGTGTGATACTTGAACACATGATATGTTATGATGTCTGTTGATTGCAAAATGTTATACACAAAAAATGAGCATGTATTTACAAAACCCAACTTTCTATATATACACACACAATGACCCGTGAAGGCGGCATCTGCTAATGAACCAGCCGTTACACTTGAGTGCACACCCTCCCGTTCTGACTGGGTTCGGTATCCCGGCTGATTCGTTTCTAGGGAGGTAAACCCAAGTACAAAATATTGCACTTTTGATTTGCGATTATACGCTTATAATTTTGTTTATTTGTTTTTTCATAATCAGCAATGCATATTATATGTCATGAAGAAGTGATAATTGTGTTTTAATTATGTTTGATTTTTGGTTGCATGTGACCTAGGATCTGGCATACTTGGCGTATAGAGTCATATACTGTTAATTTGCCCACGCCAAACAGGTTAGCCACAGTACGGTATTCTCCAGTAGAGGCGGCCAATACAAAGTTACTTCAAGCTTTTCCTCTGATGAAATTGGGGACCTACTCATTCATCTTGCGGTTGAAGGTAGACTTTCAACTGGTTATGGAGTATTTCAAACAGGTTGGTTTCTGTGCATTCGAAAATTCTTGATCCATTCTGTGTCTGTTCCGTTAACGTTGCTGTAGATATGCTCCCACCACGTTGTTGGTCTGTGAATCTTCCATACATTCTTCTATCATGATACACTCCACCAATCAGAGCCACACTAAACTGACAAGGGAATTGTCTCCTAAATCTTCTTCAGTATCCTTCCATGGCAAAGGTTAGAGACTGAATGATCACATGGCAACAAGTTGTTTACTCACCTAACAATACACACACCCCTTTTTCATCATGCGAACGCATAGCAAATTTGCTTTTGCATACGTATGTAAATATACATTAGGGTGCAAGTTTACACATGTGCAAATTGGGTTCCATGCGAACAGGGCTTAAGGCGCCGGAATTCAGCGTGCAACAATTGCATCCCTCATAGACGTGCCAGGACCACTGATCATGTGGTCATATCTCTGATTGTAGTCCGCTTCGGCTGGCGTGGCGCAGTGTTT